TGCTAAACCCATTCCGCTCGTTCTTCAACGAAAGAGTCTTGTGCGCCGATGATGTTCCTGTGAATCGCAGGGGATCGTGAAAAAACCCACGGAAACCGAGTGGCTGGCCAACTCAACGCCCACCGCCTCTTACGCGCCCCGGCTCGGCGTCCGTTGCCCGGGTGCTCAGTTGTTCGCCTCACGATGGCAGTCTATTGTCTATTAAAGACTGGCCAGTGGCCGCATCTCTTGTCTGAGTTTCTTTCTTGGAAGATATCCTCTTTCGAGGTCCACCTCGATACACCACCAAAACAATCATTCAACATGGCTCAGGCCTCGCCTTCGTGGCAAAGGCTGTTGGGGCTGCTGTCAGTGCTTCTGGCACTGATCCTCGGCGTCTCGGCCGGGGAGCACGGTGCTGCTGTCACCGGCTGCCCCGCCGATCTCGCCTCGGCCCCGGAACACACCTTTCCTGCCGGCTTCGACAACAGCACCGACGTTGCTGAGACTCAAGCAGAGCGCTCGCACGTCGAGAAGCTCGCGGCGACCAGCTTGCACGGCATGGGTATGCTCCATCTCAACATCCCATGTGTTCTTGGATCCACAGACTAACACTCCTTTCCCAGGCGCCCAATCCAGCTTCGAGGCTTTCCGAGTCGAGATTCCTGCCTCGTGTAACACTCCCAGCATGAAGAGCTCCCTCATCGAGCTCCCCATCAGCTTCGCCAGTCTCCACATGCACCTGCAGAACATCCGAACCAAATAACCTCGATGGCGGTTTGCCCAACACTCAAACCGCCGACACGAGATGAACTACTTCACCCGTGTTGGATTCGAACATACGATCTCCGACACACTTAAACCCTCACGTCGGGGTGTGCTTGGTGTACCATGATATTACACACTAAGCAAGTCCCGAGCCCGACTGCTCAAAGAGATGAGCCGTCACACAACAAACTATCTACGACAGGAACGACATGACTATAACGAAACGAAACTCACGACAAAAAAACAATGCAACGAAACACGATGTCACGGACAATATCCCCTCAACCACATGACTGGTTGGGAAGTACGACGAACGAGCTTTTCTTTACCTCTCAGATACCAAAACCTTCTCCCTCTTCACCGAGGTTTCAGCCACTTGGCTCTTTAAATACATCTTCTTTGTCTTGAACAAGACTTTCCGTCCCGATGCCAGTGAATTAACCCAAAGTCCGATAAGATTGACATGCTTCACTAATGTACAGAGTACTTTATGGGAATCTGGCGAGTTTGAAGTGATGCCGTTCTGGTCCACAAACGTTCAACTGAATAGCTTTCCATTCCCATACATACACACAACGAGACATGTAGATCTGCTAACAGTCATCAGTGCTGGTGTGAGTCTTCCGCTGATGTGAGTCTGGGAGTCCCCCAATCACGCAGATTTATTTCAGTGATTTTGATAATAAAATTGACTTGAAGGCTGCCTTCTGTGGACGGCAACTAGTACGCATGCCATGCTGCAATGTATAGAACACGCCATGTAGACAGCAGAAGCGTCAGGCGCAAGGCATTATGTAAGAGAGCCCGGTGGAGGTATTGAAAGTGCATGTAACTTGAGTATAAGAAAGACGACGTGGAGGGAGAGAGATACATATTTGTGGGAATACAGGAAGAAGAACTTAAGCGGCCGGCGTCTTCGAATAGTCAGACACCGAGGAAAGTGCCTGACATTATCCGAACTCGAGTTTCGAAACTCGGACTTGGTTGACCATTCCTGTCTCAATGCCAGCCCAATCGTCACAAGGAAGGCAGCTTGAGTCAGTTCCGCCATGACGAACGTCCTGCTATGCTTATCACCCATTACTCGGAATCCCCAGCGCAGATGCGCGCGAAAGGAGATTGCTTTACAAAGTAAAGTTAACAATCATTTCAGGGTACTTGCGATTCCCATCTCTTCACCGCACCAAATCGTATTTCCTCTCAATTCAATACGTTTATCTGTAAGATATTATGTCAGCTATTTCCACAAGGTTTTTCTTTTAACCAGTTTAAAACTTACTAAGGTCAATGATGTTCATCTGCAATTCTTTATTGACTCCATCGGCGCAATAGCACGTCATCTCGACCTTTTTCTCGTTGGCTTTACCAAGTGAACACTTTTCGCATGACTTATCAAAACCGCCTCTGGAGTGAAACGAAGAAGATTAGCGGGAAGAATTCAGGGGAGGCTGCGTGTATTCTAACCGTCGCCTCCATTGTATTTTTCCATGGTCGTTGACGAGGCATAAGTTTAGATTTAGCTCGTTATCATACGGCTTGCCGTCCAATGCGGTGCACCCGGCCAAAGCTTTGTAGAAGGCGCGTCTCGGACATTCTTTACATGGTTTATAAAATGCTTCCTTGAGACTGACTGTCTTGCAGGTTTCCATGAAGCCACCTTGAGATTCAGCGAAGGAGGTTGTTGCAAAGAAGGCAATAATTGCAGTGATGATGCCGGTCATGAGCTTCATTTTCGCTACTCGTGAAGGACGATTGCGAATGAGACTGTGTCGTAGGGGGATGTGAATGGGAAGCAGGTCGAAATTCGAGTACTGTTGCAATTGACTGTCTCCTGTAGCGAGGCCGTTGTGTGATACATGAGTGCGAGATAGCGAGAGGAGGAAGTTCAAAGAGACATTGGGATACCGGGCTATTTCAAGCCTAGTAACGAGGCCGTAGTCAAACCACTGTATGATTGGCAAGGTAAGAACGGTCGCTATGATTTCTATCATCTTTTCTTGTTTTAATGTCAGCATGCAGTGGGCGGTGAACGTGGACGGTGTCTGAAAGGAAACTGCTCAGATCTCAAAGGGGGAGGTGGTGAAGCTCGTGATGTCTTCTCCCCCAATTGGAGCCTGGGAAAGTGCGATTTGGGGGCTGAGGAGACATGGTGATAGAAAGAACCACTGATTGTTGTACTGATCTCTAATGCATATGGTGCCTGGCCTTCTGAGTAGGTGATCGAGGTTCTGATAGGTTGCAGAATGCCTCAAAGGCGGTCGTTCACGGTTCGTAACAAACATGTGAATAAGTGCTATGCACATCGTCTTTCTCAGCATGTTGTTTTTCCAGGGAACAGGAGAGAAAAATCACCAAGACTTACCGTCATTGCCAGCAGAGAAGGCTCGTTGGAGCGGGTTTCGGCGTTTTCAGGCTTGGCTATGAACACCGCCTTTGTTCCGCAGAACCTCATGAAGGCCGAGAGCTATCGATGTTCTCTCTCCAAAGAACCAACCACTCGATCCGGCATGACCGCCTCATCAAATGACATTGATGGGTGCGCAAGGAGCAGAGTTTGAAAACTTTCGTATGGGTCCTCTACCTAAGACGGTTGATGAACGGCACTCGAACCGACCGGACTGAGGTGTATCACCACTCACCTCGAGATACTCGCGTAAGTATTCTTGTTTATACCAAACTTTTCTAGGTTTCTTACGACCCTGCGTCATATCTTCTTTTTTTCCCTCTTTGATCACCTGACTCGGTTGCTCCTTCTTTCCGAATAGGCAGAGAAAAAAAAATGAGGCTCATGAACACCGGGGGATTTATTTCTCCACGGCAACCAAATTTTGCAGCCTCCATCTATCAACCTCATCCTCTCCCACTCTACCCTACTACCCTTTCTACTTTCCTACCGCACACAATTTCCAATCCTTTCCTTTCCAATATTATTTCCCTTCACTATCAATTCAACAACCAACGCGGCCCATCCTCGTCACACTCCTCTTCACACGATCAAAGCACCACCAACCCAATAGCCTCATCGCTTCAATCACAGCTTTCCTGGACGATTCGCCATATCGAAATCTCACAATGCTCGAATTTCCACGCATCTTCCCTCAGAGATTCTTTTCATGACGACTGCGGGCCTTATCGAGTGAGGCAAGCTTGCCGGAACGCGTCACTCGCGTCGCCCTTCGGGTCCTTACTTCACCTCCAGCTTGGCGCCACGGCATCTTCAACTCTTCTCTCTCATCGACGACTTCAAGCGGTCCCTCCAATACCAACAGCTCAGGTAAGTGCGAAGATATCCCCAAATCTAGGCGACCTGGAACTCGTCGTCCGCCAACGGATTCTCGAGGAATGCCCCCGTCTACGCGATCACTGTCCAATATCGGTCCAGCACCCTCTTCTCATCATGTCCCATACTTACTCTTCCTTCCCTCAGAATTAGAGCCCAAAGAATTGATCGCTCTTGCTGCTTGAAAAGTCTGTCTAGAAGGCGGTGTGAAGCCTGCCAATTTTCTCCCCTTGACCTCACCTTCCCACCAGGCAAGTACTCATCTCCCCGATCTTTCGGCACAAAGCCGCCTCTCCTTCGTCCCTACAATCTTCGTCTCTTCACACTTCGTCTTTTCTCTCTTCGTCCTTTCACACTCAGTCCTTTCATACTTTCCCTCTACACACCTCGTCCCGTCGCACTTCAGCTTTTCACATTCGTCGCTTCATACTTCTTTTTTCCACACTTCCTCCCTTCATATTTCCTCCCTTCGCACTTCGTCGCTTCATACTTCATCGTTTCATACTTCGTCCCATCGGACTTCGTCTGTTCACACTTCGTTTGTTCATACTTCGTCTCTTCACACTTCGTCTCTTCGCAATTCGTCTCTTCGCAGTTCGTCGCTTCTCTTGCTCATCGCTTTTCGTCCAATTCATGCTTCATTGCTTTCGAAATACCTATTCAACAAGTCTCTTTACTCATCGCTCTTTGCCTCAGTGACCCAAGGTTCACATGCTTAGGCCCACCAGTCACACTACAAAGGTATTTACATTTTCTGCTCTAGCATGAATCCCAGCTCTCAAATGCACACCATTCTAGCCCTACTCTACGACTTCACATTCTTACTAGAATTCTTGGCTAACTCATCGTGTTCTAGATACCAAAATCGGATGACGTTCACCGTCTGAAGAGATACGACGAGAGATACGACGATGCCTTCGTCGCATCTTCGGACGTTTCGTCGCATCTCTAGGATTATCTCAGTCCCGTCCGAATGCAACTTCCGACGGACATCGCCATCTCGACATGTCGCCTGACCACTACCAAGGTATGCGCTGCCATTGAGGTTACAATCGCTCTTGCGAAATTGCAGTCTCCAAAGGCTTGCTCGAATCATGGCCCATAAGAAAGGGTTGGAATGTGTTTGTTCAAAATCAGGTACGTTAACTACACATTCAAGTAGAACATTACTTGTCTGAGGACGAGCTGGCTGTCCAGTCTCTCTCTGATCATTCCTCTTATTGGTGTCATGAATGTTTGCTAACAATAGCCTTTGCCAGACCTCTCAAAAGAGCATGGAGACAATAGAGCCTCTGCTCTCTCTATTGGTTTGTCATCTCAAGACACAGCTTGTTTCAAGCCAGAGGATGCCAAGTTGAAACCAACTGCTCGAATAAGTCTACGTTTCCACCAGCGGCTCCAGCTCTGAGCAGCCTTTCGGCACTTCTTAGCGTCCCAGGCATGCCTGAAGCCATCGAACAACCGACGTGGCATCAACGAGGTCGGGGCTTGCTACCCTGGCCTCGCATTTGGGGTGACGTGGGAGACCACGACCACCCCGCGTGCGTCACGGTCCCTCATACCGGCGTTGGAGTCTCCGTGTCCGCCAAAAAACCTCAGTCAGCTGTCTGCGATGTGGTACGGCGGACACGGCGAGTCCAACGCGGGAATCTCGTACATGAGAGGGCCGAATGGCGAACCGGGACCTGCCATTTCCATCATTATGGCAGATAAGTACATCGATATCGACGTCGACCGAGGTGACGATATTGTCTACTGCGGAAGCAATTCACTTGATAACACCTCGAGCAACACTCCCGCCGATGGCGGACCGCCCGTTCGGGGTAATGCAGAGACTTGTTCGAAAATGCTTCAAGAAACCTCAATGGGCAATTCGAGATTCTGCCCAAAAGACCCCCTAACCGAAGTTGACGTTCCCTTCCGGGAGTCGATGGCATTAATCATGGCCCAGCGCCTTCAATCATCATGGCAGACAAGTACAGCGACATCGACGTCGACCGAGGTGACGGCATTATTTACTGCGGAAGCAATTCACTTGACAACACGTCGAGCAACACTCCCGCCGATGGCGGACTGCCCGTTCGAGGCAACGCAGCCCTATTCAAGCCCACAGAGAAGAATATTAGACTTGTTCGAATATGCTCCAAGAACCCTGAGCGGGTGACTCGGAATCCTGTTCCAAAGTTGAACAGGGACTGGCGCTCTCGAGCCCTCAGAAAACCATTCTGAGGGTATTTCCACCAGCTACACCGGCAACTTCCCCCAGACGGGCCATTATCATGTACTTCCTCTAAGAGGGCCGGTCCTGGCTTGCTCGAATACCAGAACAATCCAAGATGCGCGCTCTTCCATTGTTCGAAGAGCTACACCTAGCCCAGCTTCCGGGCGAGACTTTTGGCTCAAGATACGCCATCAAGAGAAAGCTGGAGATCATCAAGAGGTTTCCGCCCGAGGGACGATCCGGAAAACAACATCGCGTCTTCACTTCGCCCGTCAGGGATATTTCAGCTTACCTTCTCTTCTCAAACGACTCGACGTCGAGAACACCATCCACCCACACTTCAATCAGTGCTCGAATGCGGAAATTTATTTTGCTCGAATGCTTGACAGCAGCATCAGTTCGACAACAACGCTTCTGACGCCGACACTCCTGACAGCAACATGAACGCCCATGGTTCCGGCATTCAGACGATTTGCAGAACAGCAACGACCAGGTTGTCGGTGGTTATCTTCAAGATCTCCCTGACCTCGAAGATCTCCCTGACCTCGATGATCTTGACGCTCACCTTAGGGACCCTAGCTCATTTGCTTTCACGGGCGCCGAGCAGAGTATCAACTTCCACACGAGTTTCGAGGGGATGCCCCCAAACGGTCCGGCCGACCAGTGCTTGGGCCCGACAGTCCTCCCAGAAATTGAACAGGTCAACAACAACAGCAATGACCTTAGTTTTTCAAGACGGAGTTACAAACGCTACTCCTCCTCTCGCCTATGGGCCCGCCACTGGCCACGCCGCCATGTGGATATTTTACACTGTCAAGCACGGCGAACATGAAAGAGATCATGAACAACTACGATCTCACGGCTGACGATAAGGACATTTCTCGCACACGCCCAAGTCACTGACACTATCACAATGATCGCCCACCACGCTCAGCAAGCCCACCCCGGGCCTATTACCGCTCGCGGTTATTTCGAATCAGCGACATCAAAACCAACCCTCGGGGCAATGCTGGCTGCAACTACCCACCGCGTTTTCCGGAAGGCGATGTTTGGGGGGCGTTTGGGGTCTCGCAGAATTCTCTGGTTCGACAACCCTGCTCGAAAGCTTGTTCGAAAGCCTGCTTCAAGGCAATTTTCAACTTTGCTCTCAACAACCCCCGCAGGCGGGCGGCATTTCACGGCGCTGGACGCTTTGTTTTTCTTCGACTTTCGAATATTGGTGGCGTCACTGCTCGAATAAGTCGAATAGGAGTGCTGGAAGCCTCCATTTGCTACTGGAGGAGCATCCCGGATTGTGTCGGGCGTTCGCATAGTCGCCCAGAAGGAGATGGCCCCTCTGTATACTCGTCTATGCATTGGGGAGGGGGAAGGAACCCCCGAGGGCATCAAGGGTGCAGCGTGGGAGAGTTATACTCGGAAAGACTGCTCGAATGGAAGAGAGCGCTGAAACGCTTCTCATCAGGTCTCAAGATTAAGCACATCAGGATCCTCCCGGTGGACTCTTGATCCTTTAGGAGTGTTTAGGGCACTCCCGAGGGCATCAAGGGTGCCGTCTGGGAGACCTGATGAATTCGACTCCGAAACATTGCTCGGAAAGTTGTTCGAAAATTTGTTCGAAAAATTGCTCGAATGAAGGGGGGCGCCGGACACCTCTCGCGAGGTTTTGAAGATTGGGTATCTTCATGGTCTCCTGCTCCTTCTGTGCGATCATCTCGCACAGAAGGAGATGTTGCCCCAGTCAACTGAGCGCATCGTTGAGGTCCAAGGCACACCCGAGGGCATCAAGGGAGCGATTTGGGAAATCTGCAAGTGTCTCGTCGTCGAATCTGCCAATCGTCGACGAGGACCTCCAAGGAAGAACTCGGGCGCAGACAGGCAGCAGGAAGGACCACCGCCGCTGCAAGTTCAAGTACTACCAGCGCAGACAAAGCCGGTCCAAGTACCGCAACGTATACCGTTGCAAGGGCTATCCCGGAAATCACGATTGCAAGAACATGCTCTACAAGCCTGTCGTTTGCACCCAGTCCGATGCAACAAACATGGCGTCGATTTCTCACTTCTTCAAACAAGAAACGCGCTAAGACATATGACCCAGCCAAGAGGATTCCAAGAAGCGTGCCAAGATCACTCACGTAGAAAGGAGGATATGGGACGGAATGGTCTTCTGCTGGAGTCAGGCAAGCATCATCTTTTGAGCTGATGTTCGAAAACATTCTCAATAGGAGGAGCCTGTCCCAGGATGATGTCGATGGTTATTTCACTACAAGCCGTCAATCTCACCATCGACATCATCCTCGGAATACTTGAAGTCTTCGTCATCGCTTGGAGTCTGGTGGTTATCGGCTAGGCTGAGGGCCGCCGCAACCCTGATGACATTCCCAAATTGAAGTTGCGGGGGTGAGGGTATCGACATGGACGTGGGGAGTGCTCGAACAATGGGAGACACAGGTTTGAGGGCATGGATATGGATGATGGTGAAGGGTCAAAGGGAAGGGGTTACGGAGGTGAGGGTATCGATGTGGATTTGGGAAGAGACCGAAGAGCAGCAAAAACGGGAGTGAGGGGATGAAGGAAGCGAAAGGGAGTGTTCAAAGAGTCGTCTGAGGTTTGGAGGTTTGGACATCAAGCAATATCTGAGCCGAGGCGCTCTCTCATGGTCGGCGAGCCTACTACTCAACGTTTCGAACACGGTGTCCGAGAGCAGAGGAGTTGGACTGCATAGCTCGAAAGAAACAGAAGGAATTCATGGTGGAGAGGACGATAGGGGGGATTAGCTCAAGACTACAGAGCGTACTCATAGAGAACGGACAAAACGCCTTTCTCAATCATCAAGTCCTCAAGTCAGTGCATTTGTAAGAAGGGCCTTGGCGAGGAAAACCTATCAGAAGCCATAGACGCAGGCTGGACTCACTCTGGGTGTGTTTTGCACGTCTTCATCAATCGAAATCTGCTAGGTATATTCATGTATCGTGACACCGCCTCGCCGGGAATCATTCAAACTTTGGTGGATGTAGTCCACCTTTCATCGTAGTTTCAAAGAACTTCACTTCCCAATCGCCATTTTCATCTCTGCATCAGTCTAGAAAGAGAAGAACGTCGCCGCCAACAGCGCAGCAAATCCAAGACCAAGGGAAGGCGCAAAGCCACTTGCAGCATCAGGCTTGGCCGTCGAGGTCGCGGTACCAGTGACAATGGTGCCAGGAGTCGTCGACGTCGGCGTAGCGTCGGTCTGCTGCAGGATGTAGATCTCGCCCGTTGAATCGGAGGTCATGAACAAGCGGTTCTTGGAGTCCCAGGCGAGACCGACGGGGCGGAAGCACTGGTCGGGGCAGGTGCTGAGATCCTTGTTGTACATGATGTTCTTGAGAGCGTCGGTCGAGTCGCTCTTGGCGACGGGCTCGCCGTTGGAGAAGTCGACTGCGGTGAGGGCGTAGCCGACGGGGTTAGGGCGGTTGACTGCGCGCTATGTTAGAATTCTGATGGACTTGTGATCGGGTGGGTGGAGACACTTACAGCTGCCGCGGAACGACACGAAGGCCTTTGAGCCATCGTCATTGAACTTGAGGAAGACGGGGGATGAGTGAGACTGGAAGGTCAGGCGGGGAGCGACGTAGTCGTTGTGGCAGCGGGTATCGTTCATGGTCGAGTTCTGCTCCATGGAGAACTGGTCGCCGACGTTGAGAGAGCTGTTGAGCGGGATGCTAGTATCCCAGACTGCAAAGCACCGCGGGTAACCGTAGTTGCTGGCGTCGGTCTCGTTCGCAATAGTACCGAGCAGGTTGAGCTCCTCACCGGGATTGTTGGCGTGAATGTCGACGCCGTTGCGCGTGATATCATCAATGGAGTTGTCCATCGCCCAGACGTTACCCGTAGCCGGATCCTCAGCAACGGCGACAGCATTGCGAATACCCCAGCCAAGAAGCTTGCCATCCGTGTTGAAGTCGAAGGGGTTGTTGCCGGACTTGCTCAGGTCAAAGGCCTTGACTTGAGCGTGACCGCTGTTGGCATCGAGGGCGTCAATGTCAAAGTTCTCGTCGACGCCGCGGGACACGACAAGCCAGTTGCTAGAGGCCTTGGACATGACCAGGGTGCGCGTAGTCTGATCGTTGTTGGCCATGTTGTTGATGACGACAGCGGGTTCGGCGTTGACGGTGCCAGCCTTTGCGTCGTAGGCCCAGGCGAGGACTTGGGAGACGGAGGAAGCGTACAGGGTCTTGCCATCTTCTGAGAAAGCCATGCCGTGTGTGAGCTGGAGGATGACATGTTAGCACTATTACCGCCTCCGGGGATTCAAGGAAGTGAAGCCTCACTTTTGTGTTGTTCACAAGTAGCTTGCTCTCGGTCAACGTCAGACATGTACCGCCATTGTCCTTGAATGTGACGCGGTAAACACCAACAGCGGCGTCCAGGACGAGCAGAGCACCCTCGCTGTCAACGTGAATCGTGCGAGGCTTCTTGAAGCCATTGGCGACGAGCTGTGCTTGCCAGCCAGCGGCGACCTGAGGAGCATTGTAGCTGGGGGTAATGATATCGGCGCATTGTTGCGCGAGCGCCGTGGTGGCGGCTGCTACCGCGAGCGCGGCAGTTGTCAATCCCTTCATTCTGGCTGGGGTGGGGTAAAGGAGCAAATCTGGATTCAAGCAATCGCGAGAGGCTACAACGCTGTCACCTTTGAGAACTGTCGAGCGTACATAAATAAAATGCCCCTGATATATTCAAGGTGAGGGGAAGCTCAGTGGCAAGGTGAAGAGATCAGTTAGCCACAAAATAGCTTCGGAGCAGATTGGAACATGTCCCGCGAGACGGGTAGCGAGGCATCTGTCGACTTTCAGGGTGGCTGTCCAAAACTCCACTTAAAAAACGAGAGAGACAAAGCTCTCTGGTTCGGGATAAGATGCCCCTCCATCATCCCCCCTCCATCGCCTCCTTGTGCGGCGGCTCGCGAGTGGTTGACATGTACGCGAGCGGGCGATCCTCTGTGCCTCTTTGGGAGCTGCTCACCTGCTCTAGCGCAATCGGTGGACGGTACGGCGACTGGGCGGCGGAATGGGTGGGTAAGTCGACCCATGGGAGCTCTTAGGGTCTTCGTTGGATGAGGGGATCAGAAAGCCTGAGAGGGATGGCATGACTGCGATGACGGTGGACGGATGGAACGACGCCTCTCATGTGTGTGTCTGGCCGTGTTGGGTCCCTCGCATTGAGCCAACGCGCCGGCGTTGCTTTTGCGGCCAGCCACTCTGCATGGCATTGCTGCTGAGTGATGCAGACGGCAGTTAATGAGGGTATCGCGAGGGTGAAGCATTGGGTCTCTGGCTACGGGCTCACTACTCAGGCCTCAAGATGCTTTGGTGTTGTGGCATGCAGTTAGGAATGTTCATATTTGTTGCCCTGGGCACTAGACCTTGCTGGAAGACAATACATGGACTGGAGCGGAATGAGAAGTCTTCCTTGAGTGTCTAACATCGTGAGAGACAAGGTCCGAATCCGGCGTCGAGGCATCGCTTCCCACCCAGCGACACAGGTCGAACAAGATCTGGATTGGTGTGGCGGATTCAGTAAGGCGCGAAAAAGAAAAAGTTGTTCGAAAGGCGCACATTCTCTTCGTAGCGTCGCAGCGTCGCGCCATGCTACCGGACGGCTCACGTTTGATGTGGGGGAATAAGCATGCAAGACAACCTTAGCTGCGTCTGTTCAGTGGGCACAGGAGCGGGATCCACGACCCGACGGTGGCCGAAGGAGGCAGGTCGTCGGATTTCCGTCTGCTTGGAGCTGGGTCTAGGCGGATCGCGGGTGTGGTGATTCTGGCGATGAGGGGCAACCCATTTGGTGGTGGCCAAGGATCGTCGTCGAGATGTTGCGACTCGAGACTTCACCATGATGTCGAGAGGCACTTACGCAACACAAGCATGGAGTTGCAAAGCCCAAGTCATTATCTGTGTGCCTGTCGCTGATATGTCTTCACCGAGTTTGACACGATCGGGCAATACAGCGTCACGAGCGTGAAGAGAGAATGTGCGTCCACATGTCTCTCAAGGTGACGGATTCGGCTTCAAGCTAGCACCACCAGCTTGAGCTTCACCGCTGCTAGTATGGCGTATCTGGGATGACACATGTTGGTTCCTGAACGGCGTCTTGGCTGGACTCTGGTAGCGTCCACAGATACGGGTTGTGCTTGCACTTGAATTCTCGCCAACGGGAATAGACCGAAGTCACGATGTTGTTAATAATCAACAAAACGAAAGGCCGCAATGCAAGCAAGAAATCCTCCGCTCCCATAGAGTCCCCATTTCCGTAGGGCGAGTCCACTCTCCGGCCCTCTCCTCGGCGCATCTGTCGGGGCCTCGTTCTCTACGGAGTACAGATCGATCATCACATATCGTTACACTTACCACACGGCATATCGGCTCTGTTAACCATGAATGAGTCTTGGCAAAAGTACGAGAAGAGCCAAGGCCTTGGTAGTGTCTGAACTCGTCCCTTTGCTTTGCCCTGACGCCCATTGACCAACCACCTCTCTGTGTGAGCTCACGCTTCGCAATCGCAACCATCCACCATCCTGCCATCCCACCACTTCGGACAAATATTTCTTACACTCCATCTTCTGAGTCTTGACACAAGCAAATCAAAGCCAAGAGCGTTGAAGCGTCTGAGCTAGACCACTCCCGTGTTACACCATGCACTGCAATCATGGTCGACTTTCGAGCACGCTGAGAATGTGCCCAGCCGATATTCTCATTTGATTTCTCTTGTCCAGTTAGACAACCTATGGTCGCGGACATGAAGTTTTTGCAGCTCATAGCCCGCAGACTGCGATCATGCCTCGTCACTCTGTAAAAAGTGGAATACGAGGCTGAGTCCATATCTCGCATCCCGAGGATGGCGATAGAGGCTATTTTATGGCAACGGCACAGATACATCAGCACCACCGCCCTCCTGTCACGCAAAGAAACTGCTTGGCGGCCATCAGACTTTGCTGCTGAGTGGTGGCTGCAGGGCAGGGCTTGCAAAGTTGCTTCCAACCCCGCACTAATCACTCTCTGATGGTGCCGGTAATAGGCTCATCGCCCATCCCATGGCCCGTATCGAGGCTGTTCCCTGTCTTCTCCGAGTCGTATCGCCCCTCTTCTCGACGAGAATCCCAAGTCCACCTTGCCTTGGCTCTAGCAGCTGTCGCTTCAGAAAGTTCAGCCCAGCCATCAAACCCCCTCCTCCCTCTGAACTTCCCTCTGAACGCGAAACGGAAGAGACACCGGCCCTACCTACACTACTGTGCAGTACAGGCGTTGCAAATGGTGTTCGTCTGCTTCACCTGAGCTAAAACAGAGCTGTCTCCAGTTTCGCCTGTCAAACGTCAAGTTTGGGATCCTTCAAGAGGAGAACAGATGAGACTGCGTTCGATCTTCTGAAGTCTTTAGAGATGCTAGTCACCACACCGTAAGTTTGTGATACTCAAATGTCAAGACAGACCGGCAAACTCAACAGAGGACACTACGGCACTCCGGCATCGTGAATGGCGGCATGGCATACAGATAAAGTAAGTGCCTTTATGTTAATTACCAGACACACAAATCCATGGCACGCCGTGAGACATGCGCCCAGAGCACGCCAACACTTGCTCGACAGGGGCGTTCCGGGTTCCAACCATTGATTCTGGAGTTTGCCGAGACAACAACGTGCTGAACTGATGGTCGACTCCGTCCAAGCTCCATCTTCCAAGACCACGGTGCCCATCTGTCTGCGCCCTTCACCCTATCACCAACCTCCTTGGCGTTCTCCGCCCATGATCAACTGGTTGCCACGCTGCCGTGCCATGCCCGCGATTGTCTCTTGCCAAGCATGCGTTCCTCACGCCCAGCATCCTCCTCATTGGGTGCCGTATTGCCCATGATCCAGCGCTGGACTGCTGGTCCCCTCGCCAAAATGGCCTTTAGGCTTGAGGGAGCGGGACATGCGGAGCACAAGAAGAAAGGCCATTCCACCTTGGATTTCACCCCCTTCTCTTCTTCCCACTCGTCGCTAACTTGACTGGTCCGAGTCTTCCTCTTCCATTAAACCCTTCAAGTTTCCTAGCGCCATCTGCTCTACTCTCCAGCCACCCAACACACACACGCACACACAAAGTGGTGCGCTACGCTAGCTCAACTGGCGCAACCAGCCCTGGACTTTGGGGACTCGGCTCGAACTCGAGAATCGCGAACGAATACGGATACATTTGCGTGCTTACTTACTGCCGCCTGCATCCGCTACCGCTACCGCTGCTTTGCTACCAACGCCCAATGCCCCTCCATTCCATGTTCGTATGACGCGTTGCGAGACCCCAAGCCGGCAAACATCCGCTTCTTCTGGGTCCTTATTTTTTGCCCTTTCTTTCCTTGTGGACTCGCGTTGCTCAGCTGTGCCGCTTAATATTTCATACCCAGCAAGGTACGGCACGCTGAGCTGTAGAGGACCGGGACGAAGTGGTCCATCACCAGCCGATCTCTGCTTTCTCTTACGATCCATGTCGATCTGTTGTTCTTAGAGACGCAGCTCATTGCGACCTAGTTTCCCTCGAGATATCCTTCCCTCTCCTGCAACTTGAGACCCCTCATCATATTGGAGCGAACAAAGGTGGACTCGACTCAGGAATATACGGGCGAGGATTCTTCTACATGCACTTTCACCGACTGCGTCTGTGCTCCCCCGACATTTGAAGCTTCGCACAGCATCGAGAGATCCCTCAACACCATGTTCACAAACACACAACGACTGCTGTCAGCCTTTGCGGCGACGGCTCTCTTGTTCGCAACCTCATCATCAGCCGCGGCCGTCCAACCCCGGCAAGGTCCAGGTCCGGTCAACGACTGGATCTCCGTTGACTCAAATGGCAATGCCCGAACCATCTCACCATCAGTCGTCACTAGCAATGGCGCACGCACAACAATCAGCCCGCCCCCGTACTCATTAACAGGCTCCGTCTACACCGTCACGGCCACCACCGGCGGACTCACAACCAGCACAGGCGTACCGCCGCCGCCGCAAGCAAGCAATACCCAGGGATTTGGAGGAGTTTTCGCCGTGTGCAACAACAGGGTCGGCCAGGATGGGCCGTTTTGTCAACCTCGACGGGGTAGCACTCTACACGTGGAGTCGACGTACTACAGTAAGCTTAAATTCATCCCGTCCCGTTCATGTCTGAATCGCGGGACGGCCTCTAGTACCTCAACCCCGATTTGCTAACGATATTCTTAAAAGTCACTTGGGATACGACATTCTTCGCAGATCCCGCCACACCCATTGGCATCGTCGGTTTTGATGTAGACAACGGCATCACCGACAACGCACCCGCATTCTCCGTAACAAACCTCAGCGGCGGCGATGGCTGGGTTCCCTGGACCCCCCACCTCACCGACCTCGAAAGCAAGACCTCCAACAACATGACCATCATCCTCATGTACAACGACCCGGACACGGGCGAAGAGAAAAACCTCACAGGTCCCGTATTCACCCTGAGAATGGCAATGGACACCGACGCACCCAACTCGAGACCGAACCTTCTGGCCATCCTATTACCCGTCATCCTCATCTCGCTCGCCATCGCCGCCTTCATGGTATGGCTGTACATCAGGCGCCGCCGCCGTCACGCGGCCGTCGCTGCCGCGGTGGAACGCCAGAACGCGGCGCATCCCACGGGACAGCCGCGGAGCATGCATGGGCAGAAGGGCAGCGCGGATATCCAGCTTGAGCCGACGAGTCCGCCGCCGGGTTCTACGCCGGGGAGAAATGTGTTCCAGGAGGAGGTCCGCAGACAGGAGCGGGAGAGGGCGTAACGAATGAGTGATTCGACACAGGCATTGGGAACGGGTAATGACAGGAACCTGGTCAGGCGGAGATCCGTTTAGACTTGATGGAATAGGGAGGGGGTACTTCGTTCGGTAACGAATTTCCAGCGATATCCTCATCTCAGAATGAGGGCACGGGATCTATGACTATCTACATACCATGAATCAAGAGACGGGATGGGATGTACCACCGCCCAACTTTGATGTTCTATCCTCAACAACAAGGCGGCGCTAATGCTATCAAATGCAGTGTGTGAGATCTGACTAAACAAACCCAACGTACCCAGGCGGCCATAACGCCGGGTTACCAGAGTCAACCTCCTGACTACTACCGTTGCATTCAGCGGTATACAGAGAATGGCTTTGTTGAAACCACTGCTCTGATTCAAAGGCAAATCATGACCGTTGTCCGTCTAGTACCATGTCCATTAGTCGACCAAGGTAATTCCAGCAATGAGTATCCATAGAGATCCAACATCATGGTGATCAATCTACTGCGGTGGACTACCGGCCGCATCGGACCCGCGGGTGGCCGCGGAGATCCGTTCGCTTGGTGGAGTATCAAGGGATCTATCACCACTCGCAACCTTCTGTTGCTCAACTCGGCTGCCACAATTTTGACTTGAGGGGGAATTTGGCCCGTCAAGTAGGAGTAACTATGAGCCAACTGAACCATGGTCCAAACGGACAGAGTGCTAGTCACGATTGGGTATCAGCATCCATCCATGGCATGTTGCAGGGTGAGCGACTGGCAGCAAGGTTGAGCCAGTCTAGATCGGCCTCGAGCTTGGCCTCCAAAGATCGTTCTGCTTCATTCCGCCACACAGTGAGGTAAGGCGAAGATAGGCTTTCAATATGGACAGGTGCGTTCCAGTGACAATGGAGAAATATCGAGTTGACCGAGCTCCACATGCACTCGAAATCAACCGCTTCTTACAATATACACTGAGTGACTGATTCCACGGAGACTGAGGTGCCGAGAGTAAAAGCCATAGACACTCTTTGGGTATAGTGAGTGGCATCGGCCCTTCGGGAACAGGCACGCTCACTTCTTCACGTTGTCCAGATCAAATCCATCTTCAGATCAAGTCCACTTTCATAACTTAGCGACGAACTTCTTGCCACCCTCCAAAGAACACAACCCGTCGGTCATCCGCACTAGATCCCTTCTCAAAATCTTCCCCGTGGCGTTTCTCGGGAGCTTATCGACCATCCAGACACCGCCTCTAAGCTTCTTGTAACCGCTGACTTGCTCGTCTACTGCTTTGTGGATTTCCCTCAAAGCTCCAACAATCTCGCGCCCTTCCATTTTGTTCGTGTCGTCTTCTTTCATCACTACCCATGCGGCAGGAACCTCCGTCAACTGGCTCTCGTCCCAGAGGGCCCCGACACCAGACTCCCTCACAAGAGGATGAGAGTTGAGAGTCTGCTCGAGTTCCGTCGGACTCACCTGAAAGCCCTTGTACTTGATCAAATCCTTTGTTCGCCCAACAATCGACAGCCGTCCCTCCTCATCTATACGGCACACGTCTCCGGTATTGTACCACCCATCGACGGGGAACGCCTCCCTGTTGGCGCTCGGGTTGAATGCGTAGCCCCGCGTGATATTCGGACCCCGGAGCCATAACTCCCCAGGACCGCCCAGGGGTGCGTCTTCAGTCGTTCCTTCCTTATGAAGAGCGGCCTCTATACCGGGCAAAAGCTTCCCAGTACATCCATCGGGGACAACTTCGTCAAAACCCTGGTAGGCCACATACCCAGCCGCCTCCGTCATCCCGTACGCCTGAATGAGCCTCCAAGGCGCTCGGCTGAGTAGCCTCGAGAGTTGCGCCGGCTTCAGCAGCGCGCCGCCGATATTAATGACTTGTGCCTTGGAGAAGTCATATCGCTCCGTTACATCCGAGTTTGCCAGGCCCAGCACCACGCTCGGTACGCCTTGGAACATGGTCGCTTGTGTAGAGCCCACGAGCTTGCCAAATTCTTCAATGCTGTACTGCGGCATCGCGTGATGGAACATGCCGGTATACGGGCCGAGAAAGAGGGGAGCCGTGGTCATGGCGATGTGAGCCCAGGGTGTGAATGCGACGATTCTGCAGGCCGAGTTGAACATTTGGCGCTTGTGGTCTAGGGCGACGAGTTGCATGACGTTGGCGACGAAGTTATAGTGCGTCAGCTCGACACCTTTTGGTTTCCCTGTTGTTCCAGATGAAAGGTGTATTGAGGCCAGTCGTTTCGAAGTGTCTGGCCAGTGTGGTATGGTGAGCTGACTTGAAGCCATAAAGTCATCCGGAATATGTCTCGCTTGTCTGCTTTGTTCCACGATAGACAGTATTGGCGGTGGTTTCCAGAGTACTCCCTCCTGACGAAGCTCGCTCGCCGCCACATCCACGGCCTCCCGGATGACGGTCTCTAATATTGAACCATACGCAACGATGAAGTGAGGTCTTGAGACCGCGATACCGTGGCCAATCTCAGATGCCTTGAGAGCATGGTTAATGGGACACACAACACCGCCTGTCCAGAGGATGGCATGGAAGATCTCGAGAAACTCGACACAATTTGGCACCACAATGACCCATCGTGCCTGATCCGGTGGATTCAGCTTTTCCGCAAGCCCCCTTGCAATTCGGCCAGCGCGGTTCCGTAGCTCGCCGAGAGTGATGCTCCGGTTTGTCAAACTATCGGCAGCGATGATATGAGACTCGGGTATTGGGCTTGCGTTTGTGTGAAGCAATTCGGTGAGGTTCAGTTCGCGAGGAATCTCGATGCGTTTAGATGTGTATATCCTCATGGTCGTGATGGTCGGTGCATTCTCTCTTTTGAGTTTTGGTCTCAGACACACTGTCGGATGAACGAGCTCTCGACAATGACATGAACAACCACAAGATCCTAGGATGAAAGGAATAGTCGCAGAGTCGTATTCTCGATCAGCGTCAGGAACAGTCGGTACGAAATAGTCCGACGATGACGGCGAGCAAAAGAGCCTCGACTTGTTTGAGCCGCTTATGCTGTTGAACTCGCGCTTACATCCCACCTTTCCTAGACAACTAGAGTTACCGCGCGGGATGAGTGAGCGGCTTCTGCGGACCTTATTCGACGATTCCCTGCGTCGGATAATGGGGCAAAAGAAGGGCACGGAGTAGCAGGGAATAGGTTGGCTACTGAAAGGCAGATATCCCTTCAGGCGTCGCCCTAAGGCGAAATGCAATCAGCAACCCTCCACAAGGTAGAGGAGGGGGGGAGACCGAGACAATGATGTGCGGAGAAGAGAGTACCTCTGCATGAAACTTCTGAATCACCATGGTCTTGGTCGCACTCGGGGAGCATCCGCAGGCGCAACTCTGCCAAACAGACTTTCTGCGGTGATCCTTGTGGGACGCTGTATGTGCGAGGTCAAAACGTCGAGGCGGCAGCTCGAGCGGCGCCGTCGGCACGGTTCGGTGTTTTGAAGGGCGAGAGGGTCATACGATGGCCTCAACGTCGAAACAACGTTTCTAGTGCTCGAATGATATATCCGCGGGCTCTTCGATTCAAGGTTAAGTCACACTAGATAACATTCATCCTGCCATATGGATCCGCCTCGACGACCTATACGCATCGGCAATTGCTCTGGCGCCATCAACGACGGCATTGATCAGATATACCGCCTGGCCAAGTACGGCAATGTAGACGCCATCACTGCCGACTACCTCGCAGAGTTCAACATCGCCTGGAAGGCAATCGAGCTCCAGACCCAGCCAGAGCTGGGATACGAGCCAAACTTCCTCGAGCAACTCGCCTGGCACAGCGGCGACGCAGCGCGCCTCGTCGCCGAGAAAGGCATCAAAATCGTCCACGATGGCGGAGCCCTGAACCCCCGGGGCCTCGCCAACAAGACGCACGCATACTTTGAGAGCCTTGGCATCCGCGACGTCAAGATCGCCTGGGTAAGCGGCGACAACGTGACCGATGCCGTAAAACGCGGCGCGTTCGGGCGAGTCATGCATCTCGACCAGCCCGGCGTCGAGTTTGATCCGCACTCGCAGGGTGACGATCTCCTCGCGGCCAACGCCTATACGGGCATGGCTGGCATCGTGCGTGCGTTGGAGCTCGGCGCCGACATCGTCATCTGCGGGAGATGCACCGATGCAAGTCCCGTAATGGGGCTTGCGACGTGGTGGCATGGGTGGAAGACGACGGAGTACGATGTGCTTGCTGCGAGTCTGATGGCCGGTCACTTGATCGAGTGCGGACCGTATGTGACGGGAGGGAACTACTGCGGTCAACGTGAGGTGCCAGATCTCCATCATGCCGGGTTCCCGATTGCGGAGATCGGAGCCGATGGCGGCGCTGTCATCACGAAGCCGGAGGGTTCCAATGGGCTGGTGTCTGTTGATACTTGCAAGGCGCAACTGCTTTATGAGATACAGGGCGTCTACTATCTCAATCCGGATGTTGTAGCCAATATTGAGAAGGCAACCTTCACACAGCTTGGTAAAGGTCGCGTTCGTCTATCGGGTGTGAGGGGTTTGCCGCCACCGTCTACGACCAAGCTGTCCATCTGCTTGATGGGAGGGTACCAGGCCGAGATATCGGCGTATGCGACTGGCCTAGACACTGAGTTCAAGTTCGAAGTGCTTAAGAGCCAGGTGTTGGGCCAAATCAACCAGTCCGATTTTACGACTTTGAGCCTAGAGAAGTACGGTTCATCAGTGGCAGATCCGCGGTCTCAAAAGCAATGTACGACGCAATTCCGCATGTTTGCACAGTCTCGGACCAAGGCAGCGTTTGAGCAGTTCAAGAAAGCAATCTTCTATAATGGCTTACAAGGCTATTGTGGTCTTCATCTAGGTATGGACTGGAGGACTATGGAACCGAGGCCGTACGTCAGGTACTTCCCGGCCCTGATACCACAGTCCCGGATTCCCCTGTTCGTGAGTTTCATTGGTGGTGAGAAACAGCATACCATCGAGGCACGTCAAGATGGCGGCACACCCCCTCGCCAGCCCGATTACGATGCCACAGTGCCGTTATCGAATGTCCAGCTGTCCAGGACAGTGAGGAGACCGCTGGGGGATCTCGTCTTTGCGCGGAGCGGCGACAAGGGAGGCAACGCCAACGTGGGCTTCTGGGTACGCAACGCTTTAGCGTGGCCATGGCTGCAGGCTTTCATGACAAGACGGAGGCTCATTGAGCTGCTAGGAGATGACTGGCAAGCTCGTTACGTGGTGGAAAGGTGCGAGTTCCCAGGGCTCTGGGCGGTTCATTTTGTGATCAAGGGGATCTTACAGGAGGGCGTTAGCAGCAGCAGCGTGCTCGATGGGTTTGCGAAAAGCCTCGGGGAGTTTCTACGTGCCAGAGTTGTTGGCCTGCCGGTTGACTTGGTCAAGGTTGAGGATGACCGCCGGCCACACAGATTTGAAAGCCGTGCCCGATCATCAAAGTTATGAAATCCCGAAAGTTTTGTGTATATGTGAATAGACAGGCCCTCTCTCTGAGAAGTCACTAAAAGGGGATCGACAATACCTTGGACCGAGTAGTTCGCGGAGGGCTCTTTCGCAGTGTCAACATTACTTGTGACCCACGACTGGCCGAGGGGATAGACTGCGGAGTACCTCGGTCAAGGTTCAAGCGCCTGAGAGCGCCATTTCGGCAGTGCGACAGCGTGGTCAGTCGTCTTACTTAGCGGTCTGTGTCCCCTGGCATTTGAGCCTGTTGCTGAGGCCATGTCAATCTTCGTCAACCTCTCTATCAGCAACTTCATTAATCACCATCATACTAAGTACTCGGTTCAACTCGATAGAAATAAGACTACACGCGATGGCTCCGAACGATAGGCCGGTAAAGAACGCATCTGGCCTCTACGACAATGTTGATTTCCGCAAAGCCGCCGGCTACGAACATGCCCCCATCAAGTGCGCCTACAACCGCCGTGATGTGCTACTCTTCGTAAGAAGCATCTCTGCATCTCTTGATTATACCCAAGCCATGTTCTAAGAGTGACTGTCATTATGTTGGATCAATGAAAAGCGCCAGCTAAACCGCTTGCTAGGCAAATGCCATCGGCTGCCAGAAGGAAGAGTTACATTTCCTCTACGAATTGCACCCAAACTTTGCAGCCTTCCCAACGTTTCCAATCAATCTCGCCTTCAAGCAGACGGACCAAGATGTCTTTGACTTTATTGCCCGCACCGTGACCGGCCACGTCCCGGGCTGTCCGCCATTCGACGCCCAGCGTTCCGTAGACGGAGAGAGAGGCATTGAGATCCTCCGCCCCATCCCCGTGTCTTCGGATGGACTTGACTTGGAGGTTCGAAGCAAGGTCATCGGAGTCTATGATAAGGGTGCGCAGGTGTTTCTTAGGAAACCTCGAAAAACAGTACTAACTCATCTACAGGCGGAGCAATGATTCTCGAAGCAGAGCAGCTGCTGGTCGACAAGAAGACCAACACAGCTTACACCAAGATGACATCCACCGCATTCGGCATAGGACAAGGCGGCTACAACGGCCCCCGGGGCCCAACAAAGCCGGTTGTGAAAGCACCAGATCGCGCCCCGGACGCCGTGCACATCATCAAGACCACTCCGGAGGCAGCTCTTCTGTACCGCCTCTGCGGCGACTACAACCCGCTTCACGCAGACGAGGCATTTGGGCAGCGCGCCGGGTTCAAGGGGTCTATCCTCCAAGGCCTGGGCACCTGGAACATGGCTGCACACGGTTTGCTACAGAAGTTAGGCGGCGGCGACCCAAGTCGTTTTAGAGCGTACGGGGCCAGGTTCAAGAGCGTCGTTTATCCCGGAGACACCCTCGAGACGCGCATGTGGGTTGTCAAAAGCGGAGGCGGGGTGGACGATGTTGTCTTTGAGACGATCGTGAAGGATGATGGACGAGTTGCTCTGTAAGTCTACTCCAGGTGGCATCCTCACCGCCAAACCCTCCTTGTTGCGAGAAGGGACGCTGACAATCACGAAGGTCCAATGGCTACGCCAAGATTTTGCAAGCGAAACCAAAGATGTAATCTTTATGCCGCGCACGTGGAAGCTTTCCAGGGATACAGCCGTGGCCTTCAGAGGAGGTTTCCGTCTTTGAGGCAGAGTTTGCGCCGTGTATCATATTCGTCCAAACTCGGACTCAGTCGCGAATATAGGTCCATCTGTGCTGCTGCAATACCGGTCGTCTTATGAGTTTTCGAGTCAGAAGAAGGAGAAAGAGTTGTCCTTCTTGAGTCGGCAGAGTTCAAGTGAAGGAAACGACGACACTGGCCAACAGGTTGAGGTAAGGCTTGTCCGTGCAGATTGCGTGCTGTTTGAACGAAGCATCTCATCGGCATACCAGGCAATGCTGGCCAGTGTCAAGTAGTTAAAGTTCCTGCTGGAGAAGACCAAAGTTGACCTCGGCGGGCCACACATCCACGCAAATATCTCGAGATAGCATCAAAAATGAGGTTGGATTCATCAACGAGGGCACAAAGACCAAAAGCTGCGTCGAGGAGGAATCGAACCCCCGGCTCCCCGATGCTGCTTGATGGCAACGGAGAATTTTACCACTAAACCATCGACGCGATTCGTTGGATGAAAATATAGGGAGCTGTGAGATCTCTTGTAGCAAGCTTGCGTGGCCGCCAAAATTTTGTTCAAATCCTCCCAGCTACAGATGCGAAGGAAACCACTTGGGGTCTCTCTTCTCACGATATGCCGCCAGTCCTTCAGTCGCGTTCTTGCTCCGAAGCATTGCCTCGGCCCATAACTCCTGTCCGCGCATAGTCGCTCTGCTAACGCCAGTCTCCCATGCTTCCCGCGCCGCCAATCGCGAGATAATGACGCTGTCAGGACTCAGTCCAGCGATCTGGCTAGCATAGTCGAGTGCTCTCTCCAGAAGCCTCTCTTGCGGCACAATCTCCTTGACCAATCCCCAGTTGTGTGCCTCTTCTACTGATAATGTCCGGCCTGTGAGTATGAGATCCATCGTTCGGTGATTACCAAAGAGCATCATGCAACGAGGCAATGCGCCGGCGAGGGCAGATACGCCGCGGAGGACTTCGGGGAGACGAAATGTTGCGTTTGGTGAAGCGAAGATGACATCGGCGTTGAGAATGGCTTCAAAGCCACCACCTACATGCCCGTATTAGCTCTGTCTTAGCACCTGCATCTGCAGCAATGTCCTCAAATTCCAATGTCAAGTATACCGTGAGCGTAGCCGTTGCATGCGACAATGATCGGTTTCCTCCCTGTCCGATTGCTCATGCCCGCAAATTGACCTGGTGGGTAGTCAAAGGCGACGTCATTTGTCTTGATGATATCCAATCTCTGCTTCAGGTCCATGCCGGCGCAAAAGGCCTTGGTTCCAACTCCCGTGAACACGGCGCATCGCAGCTCCGGTTCGGTATCATACCATTTCCACAATGCACCGAGTTCTATCGTCGCCTCCACGGGGAGACAATTCATATGCTCCGGTCGGTTTATCGTGACAAGAAGGATGTGTTTCCGCGGAAAGGATATCAGACTGTGTTCGATATGCGGGTAGGGATTCTCAATCCAAGAAGGGACTGGCTTCTTCGTCCTTGGCGTCGCCATCTTCGTGATCGAGTGGCTCGCTTGGCTGTGAGTCTTACTTTGGGTTACTTGGTGCCGACGCCGTGGAACGCTGCGCAACCTGTAGTGATCTGTCTCGTATCACCCTGTTGCTGTACCTTCGAGGCTTCGATACCTAGCTCTGGTGTTCCAAAGAGTCGAAGTACCTCTCCATCATCCTTCTCGCCAAGTTGATCAACAGACAATCACAAGATGTCGTAGCCACACCTCGTCACGTAATGATACCTGACTTCCTGGCCAGTTCAGTGCACAGTGACCTGCCACACATGCCCAATGCCCACAGACGAGAACGAGCGCAACCCCTCCCCTAACGATCCGTTGACGGATGCTCCCTAGCGAGTCGCATAGGCAAGCCGCCTCGGCAATCCAGGCGGGAACATCCCTGTGGCTCATCACTGCGGGGTGTCCCACGATTTCGCTGTCCCTCTTTCAACCGCTGTAAAGACGCCAGAAACGTGTGTCCCGCTGAGCACGATTGGAGAGCGAGTCAAAGCCCCTGCGAAACCTGGCGCAATGGCCGTCGAGGAAGGCCAAAGCATCGGGGATGTGTGCCATGCAGGCGGAAGCCTTCTTACCCTCCCCCGATGGACGCGCCACGGAGAATAGCCCGAGTGGGGGGTAGGTGAATCCTGGATCCGGGATGTTTCCTTCGAGGACCGGATGCTAGGATTGTCGTGTGTTCTACGACTTTATTCGAGCCCGCGAAGCTTAATAGAGGGCGGGAGTATGCAAACGAACTCCGACACAAGCAGTTGACATCGTAATAGTATCACCAAGTGAGCAACGTGATCACGGCTCATCACAAGATCATCAAGACTGCTTCAACAAGCTCGAAATAAACCGGACCGCAGTATCAGAAAAATCCTCGGCATGATGGGGTTCAAGACAGAAACACCGCAGCCAGCAACGCCAGTTTTTCTCAGGCTTTCATACCCAGCTCCCCGGGTATTGCTTGTTCGAATGGACAGGCCAAAAGACCTCAACGCCATGTCTACAGCAGCCCAGTGGGAGATGGACTCGGTCTGGAAATGGTATGACCAGGAACCAAATCTCAGCGTCGCAATCATCACAGGCACGGGAAGGGCCTTTTCTGCGGGAGCAGACCTCAAAGAGTGGAACAATAGCATGGCCGACGACGCCGATCCAAGCCAGCGCATGGGCAACGCGCCTGCTTTCAAGCCCTTGAGCAGGAGATTGGGCAAGAAACCAGTCATTGCCGCAGTCAACGGTCTCGCCATGGGTGGCGGGTGCGAGTTCGTAGTCAACTGCGACCTCGTCGTCGCCGCCGAGGACGCTTACTTTGGGCTTCCCGAAGTCAAGAGGGGCATCGCGGCCATAGGCGGCGCTTTGCCGCGACTCATACGGACCATCGGACTTCAGAGAGCAAGCGAATTCGCGCTGACGGGGCGTAACGTCTCGGCGCGGGAGATGGAGCAATGGGGTATCGTGAACAAGGTAGTGTCCAAGGAGAAAGTTGTCGAGGAGGCGGTGCGTTATGCCAAGATGATTGCAGCCAACTCCCCGGATGCCATTATATGCACTCGAGCTGGATTGAGGCAGGGCTGGGAAACGGCATCTGTAGAGCGAGCAGTTGAGTGGACTCTGGAGAAGGAGTTTGCAGAGCTGCAAAAGGGCGAGAACATCCTTGAGGGCCTCAAAGCATTCTCTGAGAAGCGAGAACCCCATTGGAAAGGTAGCAAATTGTAAGATGGACGGGATCTAATTCCAAACATGCCGTTCGAAGGGGAGAAGCAGAAGATCCCGTCTGATGAGAAACCCGGACGAACTAGATCTGTGTGGCCTTCCTCTCCCAAAGCTTTTGCTCGACCACCGTCTAGACTAATCAAACCCGTCGTCCGAAACCAGTTGAGATCGACCAGCCAGGTTTGTCCTTCTTTGTATATAGTCGATGCATACTATGTACACAGTAGAAAAGCCTACCAGGACTTGGGTTGCATGCGCTGGCAACTGCACGTTTTTGTCAGCGTTGCAGATAGACCAGGTGATGGGAAGTGAGGGCAGCCATCACCAATATCGCCCATCACATCAGACTGGTGTACCATCGGTCCGGCCCCAAAACGGGTTTCAACTATCAGTCCAGTGCAGCGCCTTTCACCAGCTTGACATCCCGTCTCGATTCAACGATTTGAGTCAGCAGCGAGCTAATGATTCGAACCACTGTCGCGGCCAGATGCAGAAATCCCAAAGTTGTTGTGCTCAGGTCGTGGGGTGGTCTTCCCCGCAGGCCGGCGCAGGGAGAGGCCCCGACTGCACAACCAGACTCTGTGAAAGAGTTTCGAAGAGGTTCGAGTCTTCCGGGGGACACCTTGGTATGCGTATGCCGTGGGACGGTGAAGCCGCGTTACTGCTTGTGAAGAGGGAGGGGCGGGCGGGCAGAGAGACAGATGGACACATGCAGGCAGACAGACAGACGGCCAGCAAGTCAGACCAAGACTTGCATTGCATGTCTTGGGGTTCATCTCACTGCTGACCTTGTCCCGTCACTCAACCCTCATTCGACACTACGCCGCACATATACAGTCCTCCGTCGACGTCTATAGATGGCACGTTGGTCGAGAAAGGTTGTATAAGACTCGAGCACGGCCTCGAGCGCGCAAGATCCCGCCCGTCGAAACCCGTGTGACGACTTTCAATTCGAAATACCGACATACTGCGAGCTGGTTCCCGCATATCGATATACCGATCATCCATCATGGATATCTCCAAGAACGAGTCCTATCGCGAGTTCGATGGGGCTTCGCTGGAGAAATACCGTGAGTTCGACCGCGATACCGACCGAGACGATGCTTCTTCGATCCGTTCCGAGGCGCTCGGCGATGATCTCCCTCCCGGCTACTACTATTCTCCTCAGTTCCTAGGGGCCATGGCGGTTTGTCGACACCTTTGCCAAGACCTGGATGTTCACTAATATCATCTAGGGGTTTTGTCTTTCAGCAATGTCGGCATACATCTTCTTGATCCTGCCAACCAACGTGCTGACATTCATCAACGCTGATATCGGTTAGTACATCCGGTAACGATGTGAAAGATGTCATATGCTTACATTAGATAGGTCCGAGCCCATATATCTCCTGGGTCAACATTGCCAGAACTCTCTCGCTGTCATTCACCTACACGATCCTGGGCCGCTTGTCAGACCTTTTCGGAAGACGATGGTTCTTCATTGGTGGCAACGTCGTCGCCATCGTCGGAATCGTCGTGTGTGCTGTGGCGCACAATGTCGAGACACTCATCGTTGGTGCCGCCATCTATGGCCTGGGCGAGACGGTCCAGCTGAGCTTCAACGTTGCCGTTGGCGAGCTGGTTCCCAACAAGTACCGTCCTGTCGTCTTGTCTCTCATCTTCTTGACCAATGCCCCCATCTCCGCGTTTGGCCCTTTCGTTGGTGAGTTGATGGCGAGAGGCCCATTTGAGGATACATGTAGTTGCTCACTATATCTTAGCCCGGAAATTCGTCGAGAACCCTAATCTCAGCTGGAGATGGTGTTTCTACGTCAACATCATCGCCGTGGGACTCGCCATCGTTCTCTTGTACTTGTTTTACCACCCACCCACCTTTGAGCTTCTCCATGACCGCAAGACCAAGCGCGAGCTGCTCAAGGAACTGGACTGTAAGTTGACTTTCCTGGTTGGCCTCTCATATCCCCTCAATGCTAACATGATGCAAAGATCTTGGCATCTTCCTGTGGACTGCTGGCCTCACTCTTCTCCTCATGGGTGTATCTTGGGGAGGCGTCATGTTCCCTTGGGACTCTGCAGCTACCATCTCGAGCTTGGTTCTTGGTGTCGTTCTTCTGGTGGCACTCTTCTGCTGGGAGGCCTTTGCGGATCTGAAGTATCCTGCCATCCCTATCAAGTTCTTTGCCAACCGTGGTTTCATGGCACTTGTGTGCTGCGCAACGGTTGCTACAGCAAGTATCCCCCACCCCCTCCAACAAGTTCTGCGTGGCTAACAGATTCGAAGATGTTTTACTACTCCGCTGTCTTGCTATGGCCACAGCAGGTTCAGGCCTTGTACACGACTGATATCACCTACGGCGGTTGGCTCTCGGTAAGCAGACCTCAGACCAACGTCTCTCGCATGCAGCTAACAGTCATTAGTCCACTGTGGCAAGTGCTACAGCGCTTGGTCAAGTTTGCGCAGGAGGCATCGTGAAATGGGGAGGCAACGTCCGGTACTGGATCATCTTCGCGACCTTCTGCATGGTCGGCTTCGTCGGGGCGCTCGCGTCCCTGACCCCCGAGACACTGAACACAGGAATCGCCCTCACCATCCTCGGCCCGTTCTTCGTGGGCTTCATCGAGCTGGCATCTCTCGCTCTGGCGCCCCTATTCTGCAAACCCTCAGATATCGGCCTCGCCTCGGGTCTCCTCGCGTCCATCCGCTCGGCCGGAGGCTCCATCGCCGTCGCCGTCTACACGACGATCCTGTCAAATCGCCTGGCAACGGAGATCCCGGCAGCTATTCGCGGCCCAGCCGTTGCTGCGGGTTTGCCCTCAAGCCAGCTCCCGGCCCTTGCAAAAGCAGTGCAGGCCGGAAAACTGGCCGCATTCCCTGGCTTGACGAGTGCCGTCAAGGCTGCCGTGGCAAAGGTGCTTCCGACTGCGTACTCGAAGGCGTTTGAGACGGTTTATCTGGCGAGTCTGGGCTTCGGAGCAATCGCGATTGTCGGATGCTTGTTCTCCAAGGATGCTCAGAAGCATCTGACGAACAAGGTGGAAAGACGTATGGGTGATGGGAAGAGAGCTTGAAGGAGACTTGAGTTACTTGATCAAGGGGCAGAGTGATGGGGGGACTTGTAAGTGTATAGATCGTCACGCTTGTAGCCAGGTTGTAGGAACGATTATCGCACGATTTGGTTTGAGGTGCTGGTGACTGTATTGCTTCAACTTCCTTCGCCTTGATTGTCTTCATTGCATGTGGCTACAGGACCGCAACCATCTATGGTCGCAATGGATGAGAAAATTCTGACTTCGCTCGCAGCAAGACGCTGCAGAGCTTCCCCGTAATCTACAATAATGAAACCTCCTGGCCTCTGCGTGATGCTGCTTTATCTAGGTCAAATTCCATTGTACCATCCTTCCAAGCTTCATCGAGCAGCTCCCATGTAGATCGTGCCAACTGAAAGAGATACCTCTTCTTAGCAGCCGACAGCACGTCATCTACAGTTTGTTTCCAGTCAGGATGCCGCTTAAGGAGTCGAGTTTCGAGACATGCCGTTATCAGAGGGAAGACGATGCCATTGCGGCACAACAGATGCTGATTCTCGGGCAGCTGACACGCCACACAAAAGAGATGAAGTCCTGATACTAGACGGTATAGAACAATTTCTGAACTTGGCAGTGCGTCCTGCTGATCGTCGCCAACGAATTGGCCGTCTTTCTGTGTCGCGTTTATAATACGCTGCTCGCGTCTGCGGATGTGAAGCATGCCGGCAAACCGCCAACAATCCCACAACAAGCACTGAACGTACTCGCCCATTTCACCTGGCCATCCCCAAAACCGACTTATGGAGACCTCCGCCGTCTCGAACGGGGTGTCGGCGAAGATATCCAGCAGCGAATGCGGCACACCAGTGATGACTTCCAAGGCCTTGACTCTTCCCCCTTTCCAGGAGTCTTGAACTTGTCGAAAGCGTCTCCAAATACCGAGAGAGGGACACTTTCTTCCTAGTACGAGACAGGGCATGTCCATGAGACCGATGAATTCCAAGGCATGCCGTACTGAGAGGTCATGCTCGGGATTGGGATTGAGATATGATATAGGAGCATTCAGATGGAAGGTTTCGGCGAGTAGTCCAATGACGGGTGTACACGGTTGGGCTTGAAGGAACTATGTGATCCATACGCTTAGCTGAAAGATCTATGCCATGTCTGGACATCTGCGGTCTAAGGAGGGGACTGGTAGTGGTGCGATCCAGCGTCCGCCGGACTTAGTCGGCTATCATCGGGGTCACTTACTTGAAGAACACACAGCAGTACGCCAGAGCACGCCGTGGCAGCCGGCATAACATCGTAATGGGCCACGATTTCGCGCCGAAACTCCTTCAGAGCAGTGTCAACGTACTCCATTGAGGAGACAGACATGTCCGAGCTACCTTCATCAAGATAGGCTTGGATGGCGGAAGATAGCAATATTAGAGATTTGCTCTTGGCAGACATCTCAACAAAGAACGGCTGGACCCATGAGCACACTGATGTGCTGTAGAGGCTCATGAGGCCTGTGCGGAGAACTGTAAGCGTCACTCCCTGTTAGCGAGCTCAACGTGATATATCTCATCGAGTCAGCACTGGGACACGCGCAGTTGTGGCATACACTTATGGAAAAGCTCATCCGTAACATGTGTCGTCTGTACCTGAGGGCTGGGGCGATTCGGGAGTGCGATCTGACTTGCGAGAGTGTTGGATCCGGCTGGAATGCTAGTAGCATTGCTGCTACCTTCGCCGGCAGAGGAGTGATTCGCAGCACCATCCACCCAGCGCAGGGGCGTTGAGTATCCAGGGCATTGGATCCCTCGTTGAGTACAGGCTTCGCAAAACGGACGGCGGCGGTCACACTTTCGTTTCCGCCGCCGACAGCTCATACAACCGCCGCGAGCGCGTTGCATCTTGGTCTCTCGAATCTATAGAGTGGCAGCTCAAGATGGGCTTCATAGCCGTTGACAAATGGATGTTTTGTCCAAGATACACACACGCACACGGAGAAGTAGAATGGACAAAGATGCCGGCATGGGAGCTTAGCCTCTGTGGCTGCTTCGATTCAGGGGACATTGGGACTGGCCAAACGGAGCACAGACTACGGAATTCCCAGCATGATTCAGGGCTAAGAACATAAAGTTAGACCGCACTGATTAGCGAGTATAGGTGGCTACTCGAGCGTAGCACTGCCGAACCCCACGCACGGTAAACGGTGCATAGCAGATTTCCGGGTATTCAAGCAACAAAGGATGGTTGGCAAGGATGGCGTCGTCGGGTCCCAAGTTCCTTTTCGGCAGCTTGCGGTAGTACTTGTTGGGGCATTACGTTATTTTGCGCAGTTGCTGTAGTATTGTCTTTCTACCTTGAGAGTGGAGAGTGGGCCAGCAGACTCCATGTGTTGCCCAGGTGTTGCTCTCATTGTCAAGCATTGAGAATCTTGTCAATGACGCCCACGGCTTCCAAACACTCTTCATCGCGAAACCGCGGAGCGATAATCTGGATTGCACAAGGTGCACCATCAGTAGCTTCGGGGATGTCTTGAAAGTTCAAAGGTTCGAAACATCAGCGCAAGTTTCTTGTTCGGAAGATCGGGGAAGGATCTTACAATCAGGCACAAAGTCCGCGATGGCCTTTTGTGGTTCAGAGTCTTGCGTCGCGGACGCGGTGCCAAAGGGAATGACCGCTGCAGGGAACTTTCCAATGTTACATTAGCGACCTATGAGAATACTACCAAGGATTTCTAAGCAACGGGGTAGTTAAACACTCACGTCAATTAAACTCCACATGACTGTATACACGGGGAGGCCAAAGGTATCGTGTGGCACGGCAGTGCAGGATGCCCCAGGAGCCAATACAATGTCGAGGTCGTGTTCTTGCCAGGTCTGGCTCCATGACTGGGCATAGGCCGCGCGAGCCATGTTCAGTCCTGTGAACTGGCTTGGGATGTCCAGCTTCGGGTCGACAGGAAAGTCTCCAGTAGAGAAGGGATGCATTCCTTTGGCGACAGAGGCAACAAAAGGCTCTCCAAAGTCAGCAACAGCTGGCGCTGAAATGCTAAAGTATTGGTACGAGATCCTTGCGCCGAGGGCCACGCTACGCTTCGCATCCGTTGCAAGATGGACAATTTTGTGTCCAGCTTTCTCGAGAGCGGACGCGGCTTCAGCCAAGCTCCTGCGTACAGGAGGGTGTAGGGTATATTCGGGGTCTTCGGGCAAGATCCCAATCGTCAAGGGCTTCGATCGAGGCTCGTATAGGGTTCTCCAGGAGAGATTGATCGCGCTGCCGTCGTATCTCCATGGGTTGAGCTTAGTTACGACCTCCATGAGGAGCGACAAGTCGTCGGCGGAGTTGGCCAACGGACCAAGAGCAGGCATCACAGCGGACATCCAATTCATGGGCCATGGAGAGAGAGACTGTCCTGCGAACGGTATGCGATCCACGGTTGGCTTGAAGCCATAAACGCCGCAGCAGAAAGCTGGGATGCGTACAGAACCGGCCAGATCGCTACCGATGCCCAGGGGTGATCCGCGGAACGCGACAAGCGCTCCCTCGCCTCCGCTAGAGCCACCAGCTGTCAACCTTGTATTATGTGGGTTGAGTGTTCGGCCGAAGATGTTGTTCTCGGAATCGCAGGTCTGGAGATACTACGTTAGCAAATATTGTCTAGGGGTTGGTTTGTCTGCGTAGGACGCCTACCATCATCGTTTGTGGAATATTGGTCTTGCAACTAGCAAGATTTCCTATCGTCAGATCTGCTTGGTGAAGCGATTCGTCTGCTAAGTCTACTTACTAGAGAATTGCTCCTGCATCAAGAAGCAGCTTGACAAGGGCAGCATTGCCTTTGGGACGGTCTTGCTTGAGAAACGCGACATATCCGACAGACGCGAAGTGCCCATCTACGTGAAGGCTGTCCTGAATGATGTCAATTGGACTATTCTTTGTCGCCGGACTCAAAGTCAGAGGCTATGTAGTGTTGTCCTACCTTTAAACTGATTGGCAAGCCGTGGAGCGGACCAACAACTTTGCCTGTTTCTCGCAACTGCCTATCGAGCCACCGGGCCCTTTCGATTCCCTCTTCGAAAAAGATCTCGGTGAGGCAGGACGTCTAGTATTCATAACACAAAATCAGCCTGTTACTTCTGCGAAGCGGACTGTCAGTTGCAAGCAAATGTCCAAATACTCACCAACTGCTGGGCAACGGCTGCTCGCTTGCAGTACGCAGTGGCGACTCTCTCTGCGCTGAGTGTTCCTTGGCGAAGGTGTCCCAAAAGCTCACGAGCTGTGTAATTCTCGGTAATGTTTATTTCGTTGCTTTCGAGAATGCCTGACTTCTTGGCTGCTTGAAGATCGATGAGACGGCCCTCCTGTGCCGTGCCGGCGCCGCGAAGCTGTTCTAACTTGTCATTGTCCAAAAGCCAGTCCGAGGGTATCTTCTTCTTCTGCTCCTCGAAGTGCTTTCGAGCAATTTGTTCCCATTCCGCCATACTTGGCTATCAAAGGGAGGTTGTTGAGGGTCAAGATAAGGGGCGTTGACGATCTTCAATGAAGTTGGGTCCGAGTCTGGATGACAGGCCCTTGCGACCTCATTGCAAGGGACATGTCGCAGGAGATATATACATGAAGGATTGAAGAACTAAGGAGTATGTTCTACGGAAGTTCTTCTCTACTCGCTGCTCCTATTCCTTCAAATCACTCCTCTGCACATCATCTGATAGCGCTGGCGGCGCACATCATGGCCCAATTGGGATAGCATTACCGCTTACTGATTGGTCCTCCACAAATCCATTCCGACGGCTGCACCGAGATCTCAGCATCTCTCGGAATTCAGAACTCATCGGTCTCGTGAGAGCCAGATTTCACCATTTTCCAAGGCGACAGAAGATCCCCCGTTCGCCGGCTGAGCATTCAATGTGGTGATGCCTCGACAAGTTCCGCGTTGGGTTCCGAACGTTGAACGCGTCCATCGGAGTTCTCATTAGTTGGAGTTCCCACAAAGAACCAGTCAGCGATTCAGCATACAGGCTAGCACGAGTAAAAAACATTGAAGAACTTCCAGCTCAGGATAGATAGTTGGAGCGAAATGGCATTGCGCGTGTTTGTTTTTTTCTCTGATATTAAGGCATGGCACCTACTATAACCAGAGACCAGGCCTAAAGTCTTGTCACGCTTGTTGCAATTGGCTTCAGATCTTCAATCTTGAGATGAGACAGAGTCTGCGCAAGGCTATCGCGCCGGCCTTATCGCATGGAGCATCGTATGTTTTGGGGCAGAATTCCCAGGAAATTTGGGGGCCAGTCGACTTCAAAAGGCTCTAACCACAGGACTTGATGGAGTGATATGATCTACAGTATCCGTGATGCGTGTTGATGACTCCAGTCTGGTCAAGAGGGTTTACTCCGTGAACGCACCAAAGGCAGGCGGGACCGCACCAGATTGACCGCGATTATCTAAGCAGCATGCACAAAGTAAGAGAATAGAGGAAATAATGAATTCTTCATAATAGTAGTGCACAATTCAACAACCGCGGTCTACGTAGTATGTAGGGGTTCATTAACCACATTGGGTAAGTGTAGCCGCCATCCCCAAGTGGATAAATTAGATTACTTTTCAAAACTTGTCCCATAAGTAAGGCATTACTACGCTGAATGTCAAACTGGCACGTGCCTAGATGCATTACAGCCAGAAAACTGAACATGGACCAAGCCACGGCTTTCAGTGTACTTGATGGCGCTCTTGAAATCTTCAAGCTGTTCGGAGGCTCAGTCTGCTGACCTCGTGTTGCCTGACTTAAAACGCCCATAGGATCTTGTGCGACGAGTCTTGAATAAGCCGCAGTGGATGGTGGCCCTGAGTCCCACTACGATGCTGTTTAGGTAGATGGAGTCAACATGAGCAAAAGTTTGACCGCCCACATAATTCCACTCTCCCTATTTTGGCTGGGTCATTGCACAAAAATGTTGTCAAATCATGAATCAAATTCCTAATATTGAAGAAATCACTCTCAATCTCTTCAGCTTTTTAGTCCCGTACGAGAGCTATGATATTCAGCTGCCTTGTTGAAGGCAAGGGTGAGACGCAAAAAAAGAACACCTCTCCTCTTCCAGAATCGAACTAGAGACCTTTCGATGGATGTGGATAAACCATTACAGTCGAACGTGATGAACCAACTACACCAAGAGGAGGCTGTGGAGTTGCAAAACTATTATTCATTCTTATTCCAATGCGTGCTGGCGCCGACCAAGCTGCCGTGTTCTCGCGGTAGTTGCAATAACTCGAGAAAATTCACTTCAGAAACTGCTGTTCTGGCACATACTCTCGAGCTGGAATAGTTAGACGAAGGCCCCAACTTGAAGGAGATCACAAATTACGTGCGGTGATTCATCTTCAGATGACTCTTTGTCGACCTACCTCAAGCACCGTCTCACTTGTACTCTTGCAATGTTATCTCTACAAGCCTCTCATTACGTTGCGCTTGACTATTAATTGCCAATAATTCACTAAGTGCTGTCGAAGTTTACGTTTAAGGCACAGTTGCAAAGGTTCGTGTATCTTTTACCGGTAAACCGACACCTATGAATGGCCTTGACTTTCGCCATGAAATCACATTTGGTACTTGTCTGGTGACGGTGAACGTCACTTTTCATAGAATCAGCAACTATGAGACTAATAGAGACTGGAATAACTGGGTTTCCCCCATTGACATACGCTCGGATCTGTCCGATTTAGGTGGTCACAAGTCTAGAAAGGTAGTATTATTGGCCAAATCTGGGAGCAATACAATCATCGCTCATACCCAGACTCAAATTCTCAGAGGACATTTTACAGAATCAAGTGCACGTCGATGGTTCTTCTCAATTATCTAGTCAGCCGATACGCTGCATGAAAAGCGATAGGTGTAGTTGTTGGCTGCACATACGATGGCAATGTAACCCAACTTCAATGAAAGACATTTACGATTGGGGGACACTTGCCTAGAACACTCAGTCTAGAAACCAAAACGCACGCTCAATCTCGTAAAAGCGAATGGGGGTTTGTTCCGCATTGAAGGATCTGCTTACCAGGTAACTAACTGATTCGGGCGTTACGAAGCTGCTGCCTAGAGTTAGCCAAGGACCAGGCGTTCAACTACATTAACACTCCGCGTATGGTGGAACCCAAGCTTTCTTTCGTACCTGGAAAGGGCAGGTCTTCGGGGACCTTCTTAGAGATATCGGCGACCTCAGCATACTTGACGATTCGAATTCGAGCGGTGAGGCTGACGGCTTCAACTTGCACTACTGCTGCGACATGCTGGCGGGCTTGCATCAAGTCAGACTCTGGCAACGATTGCGCAATTGAGCATCTCGTACCTATATCCTAGTAATTTTCACTTATCACAAGGCACATCACATACTTCTGCTTGGTGGCAAATTGTTGAACGAGGATCAAGGCTTCATTGGTAAACGTACGACAACTGCTGTAATGCTGCCTGGAGGGGAGAAGACGGGCGTCATCATGTATTGAGTAATTTCGGCCGTTCCAATCATGATACAATTCAACTCTAGATACTCATCTTTGAGTGGGATTATAAAAGCGTAGCTTGTGCCCTAGAGTCGGATTTGTGCTTAAGCAAACTCTCGCAGATTTGAACTTTCTCATCGGTTCGCGAATAGTTTCCAAAATTGACATTCTCAACAGAGTAAGTGATCCATACCGAAAGCAACGTGACTAAATTTTACAAACACCGAGATTTACATTAATTTCAGCGAAAATGCGCTTCTCTGTTGTCTCCGTCATTGCCATCGTCGCAGCACTTGCTGAAGCGCAGCAATGCACGCCCGGCCGCTACCAGTGCAGGTGAGTCTTTCAGTCTCTTGAACCCAAAATCTGGATACCCAGCATTAATACGAGCTGATCAATTGAAATAGATCAAACGTGTTCCCCGCGGTCTGTGACGCCACTGGCAACTGGGTCGTTCTACAGCGTTGCCCAAACAATTGGCGCTGCATCGAGAACAACGGCAGCGTGACCTGTTCCCCGTAGCTCACTATGTCATGGAGCCTAGAGGTCGAGGTTTTTCCTATACATAGCTCGATAGCGAAGGCTTTGTCGAAAGATGATGGCTCACAACGAGGCATGATGGTATGAGAGACTAAATTCGACTGTCAAGGTTGGCATCGCTCCTCAATTATTACACATGTAGAAACAAGCTTCTCCGCCAGATTGCATCGCCGTTTCCAGGCTTTCTGAATTGAAATTATCTATTGTAATTGAACAAGGTTGGAACCACGATTGAGGGTCAAACCTGTCCAGGAAAATGGAAGTGCATTGAATAAAGTAATCCGGCGCCGGGTTTAATCAGTTGCAAAGTGGTTCAAGATAAGGTCAAGTGCAGTGTTCATATCTTGGAGTCTTCTATTAACGCAGGATGCCATGGGAAGACAACCGATCGACGGAAATGGCCTCGGAAAAAACAAAGCCCACTCACCCATCGCTGAATGAGGAGCTCAGGCCCGGGATCGTCATGAAATTCAACCGATTCCAAGAAGCGACCGCAATCGACATGTGCTTATCAATAATATCGTTTGGGTACAGTGTTTTCGAAGACTCATTCATCGGCTTGGAAGAAGTCAACACGTACCTAACTGAGCCGGGTCAACATTGGATCCCACCAGCGTTGTACTTTTCTTACCTATATCGTCGTCTTCACTCTCCGAGGAGCCCTCCGACTCTTCCTCAAAGTCCCCCTCATTCACAGAATCGGAATCAATATGACGATAACTGGTGTGGGAGCTTGCATCTGAATCGTCGCTTCGGTCATCAAACAGCACAGTATCATCATCTTCATACCCTCTCTGCTCTTCATCTCCATCCATATCTTCTGGTACGAAAATACCGCAGTAGCTGTACGGTTGATCACCGAGCAGGCCGCCAAGTACCAGTGGCTTCTCCGCATCCATTACCGCAACAACTATCTTGGCCATCATCCGCATGTAATTCTTGGAGAAAGTTTCCCGTTGCATTGGCCGTAAAACGGTATCAATAAAGCGCGTCAGTTCATCCACTATAGGATAGTTGCGGATATGACTGAGGGCATCTCGCAGCTGCGTAAGACGCTCTGCGGCGTGCGTTCGTCGGCTCCTCCAAGTGTGTCGGCTTCGGTCCTTTGCATGTGGATAAAACAGCCTAATACGTGATGCGAATATCGACTTACAGTATTTCCTCTCTCGCCCACCATCCTGAGTAGTCGCTGCTTTAACCTGAGCCTTCCCTGAGTCCGCCCGGAGCCTTGGCTGAGCGGACGTTCTGATGTCGTTTTTCGGCCCCTGGCAATGAACAAAATTAGAACAGCCCCACACCAAGGTAACCTCGTCTATGTACTGCATTTGGATGGTTGCGCTCAAATGATACTGGCGGCGTATCCTTTCTTTCCATCAAGTCTCAACCTACATTGCGGAACCGTAAGTCTTTTACTGACTCGGTAATCTACCAATATGTGAGGTCAATGCGAAACTGATAATCAAGTTGAAGTAATACGCTCTCGAGATTCAGTACATCGTCATCATGGCGATGATGAGATTATGCTTATTTCCTTTCTTTTATTCAGTTAAAGTAAAGTGTGTAGGCCTTATGGTTTGATCTGTTCTCATCAAAAAGAACAACCCGACTCTGCGACATTTCAACGTTCCCAGTACCTTTAATCAAGACCCAGTCGAGTCACCGGGTGCTGGGATGCGCCGTTCTTAACCCTGGCCAACGTGGTGAGAAGCTGATCCGTACTGCGGGATATGCTGGATTTATCTGCAGCGTTGAGGATTTGAGCACCTGCATCCGAAAAAAGTATCTTGTTAAACTGTGTCCTGAAAGTCGGCGAAAAAGGTTGCTTACAGAAGATGGCGTTCAAAACATCGTATTCAGCTGAGAGAATCCCAAAGACTGCTGCGAATTCGGGTTCGTACTTCACTGTGAGTCTGCCAAGACAACACCAGATGGCCGAGAGGGATGTTGTCAATGCACTGCCAACTGCCAATGGGTCATCTCCTGCGGTATCTGAGAGAGCATATCCAACCCCGAACTGCAACATAACCCCGATATCCCCCACGTAACCTGGCCCAACTAGCTTAGGTTCGGCTATGTTGACTAGTCTAACCGCTTGCATGATCACTCCGATTGTTTTGACGGTGAACTACAATAGTTAGTCGGAAAAGAAACAAATTCAAGCGGCCTCCAGGGATATCAGCAAGCATACCTCCGGTACAACCCACAAATCCTTAGCAGGGCTGTGATAAGCCCCTATGCAGATGTTATAGACACAGGGGAGAAATAGGGATATGGAGATAATTCCGCGAACAATTTTTAAGCAGGTGTTGACAGGAGATGCTGGGTCAGCCGCCGCAGCAGGAAGCAGAGGTTGGTTTATGCCCCGCAACTCGTGTTCTGTGCCGGGAGGTCCAAGTGCGTTTCGATTAACATTGGCTTCCGCATCTGTTCCGAAAAAAAAGGGTCAATGTTACAAGATACTCCTGTAAATGCTTCTTTGGGAGACTGACTTCTTGCTGCATTTGCATCCACCAATATACAACCTGCGTCGATAGCAGAGCTGATACTAGTCACAAAAGGGCATATTATGCACAACCAGAGGTCAACCTAGATCCAACGTCAGTATTGAGGAAATGTTTCGAAGACAGTGCGCCGTGATGACTCACTCTCTGAAATCCACTGATCTCATTTGCAGTTTCCGAATTTGTTGTTGTCTCGTTCAGACTGGCAAACAGTAAACTGTTTGAGTCTGATTTTGTTGAATTCTCGGACTTTGGCATGGCCGAGGCCCTGAATGACATTGGAGGGGAAGAACGGGGTCGCAGCCAGGTATTGACTTGGTCTTTCGAAGGGAACCACTCATCCGGATTTCCAAATACGCTTGGGTCGAACGGCATCTTCCCAAACACAGTTCCTGAGTAGATGTTCAGGACCCAAGAAGGAATTATTGTCAAGGCATTGAGGAAGCTCAAAGGCGTATCAGAGCCGACGAATGCTTCCCAAAGTGTCGAAATTATGGGTAGCTTTATGGGCGAGGTCAGGACTTTCCAAAATTCGGCCATAATACTCGGTATGACTTCCACGACATTCGTAATAATAATCTTGACAGCGTCCAGGAGGGTCCAAAATGCATCACCCAGAAGCTGACCGATTGCTGTGAACGCAGTGGTCTTTCCGTTGAAGACCGACGTGAACTTTTGCATAACATCGGAAAGCAATTTGACGATATTCGTCACTTCTTCGTCAAAGGTCTTCCCAACTGCCGCCATGATGACTCCAATTAGACCAGACAAATCCGGTAGTTGGATCACGTCGCCGAAAATATCGTCAGCTTGTTTCATGACCCAGCCGAGAGGATTGAACTGGCCAAGCAGTTTGACAATTGGGTTGTCGAAGATGAAACCAATCAGTTTTGTGAAGAAGTTCGTCTCACCGGTATTCGGAGGTACTTCTCTCGTGTCCGGTATCCACTGTTCGAGTTGGGATTTAATAGTGTCAAACATTTGGACAATGACTGGTTGCAAGGCTTCGACACTGTAGCTAATGAAGTCTATGCCTGACCCGATGGCCTTATTAACAGTCTAAGAGCATCACACACTGATCAGCTTTCGCTTCAAAGATGAATAGGGGAGAAAGTAGGATTGGAGCACCTGGACAACTTACAACTTGAGTTTCCAATATCTTGTCAATGTCAAAAATGAAGCCAAGCCAATCAAGAAATCCTGTAATGTCGATTCCCAGTGCGGACTTCAAGAATCCCGCAAACGAGCGGATTGCTCCAACCATAGTGGTGATGACGAAGCGGAAGACCTTGCCGGCAATAGATACCAGGATCGAAACAGCTCCGTTCAATACGTTCATTGCAAATTTGAACCCCGCCGACAGACCTGACTTTATGGTTTCCCAGACATCACCAAAGAAGGACTCAATGTCTGTAACGACGTCTGTGACCCAGCTACCACCGTCCTTCTCGAGCACTCCATTTTCCTTTAGAGTAAAAGACTCGGTAGAATTATTCACCGCCAAAGCGTTGACTGTCGTGTTGGAGACTGTGTTTTGTACAGTCTTGAACTTATCCAGAACGCTGGCTGCAGCGTCAAAGTTGGTGGTATCCGGGAACTTGACTGGCCTGCCGTCAGTGGTCGTTGCATTCTGAAGTGATGCCGCAGTGTTGTATTTTGGCAGCTGCGTTGAGATGCGCTGTGTTGGGTCAACTGAAACAGATGCGGTGGTACCAAACTGGCTTAACATAACAGTGTAATGTGGACAGGCGATAGAGTCATTGATTCGCTGCACAATGTTGACGGAACCTGAATTGTCGGTGACCACGGAAATGGGCTCTGCAGTGTTGAGAGTATATGTGCTCTTGTTGATTGTGACGTAAGCCCACTCACTGGAAATACTCTGTACATAACCAGTGTTAGAGGCCGGACTATAAACGATTAGGTATAGGCTAGCTTACCAGAGGGTAGTCAGCTCCGAGGGAACTGCCCGTAACAGAGCTGAATGGGTGAATAGACGTTACGTGCGCGGCATAAGTAAGCGATTGGGGTTGACCATCTGCAGGCCGAACGGCAATAATATGCTCCTGCCAAAGAAATGATTGAGGGGTGAGGTAAAGGTGTTTGACAGTCTTATCGCTGTTGGTGATATAGATGAGTTCCGTAGAACCGGAAGCCACGTTGTACTGAGTTGATATTTCGAGCACATCAGCGCGTATGGGCAGGCCAGACGCCAACCAAGAGATACTGGATGAGCCTTTCTTGGCCCTGGTTCCCTCAAAATAGTAGAGCTCATTGGCAGTCGACACAGCCAAACCCACCAAATTCACATCATATTGTGAAACGACCACCTGCTTGAACGAGATAGAAGGCAAGACAACTTGCGGTGCGGCATCGGGGGTATTTTGGGGGAAGAACGCGATACCATGATCTGAAGCAGCAAACAAATCTGTAAAACCACTTGGGGCTGGAGATGAAAACAGACTATGCACATCGCCAAGGCCATCGAAGTCAAGTTGAACAGTAAGACTATTGTCCATGTTGGAAAAGGAACCGCCTACTGTCCCGTCGGCCATATCGAACAAAGTAAATGTTCCTTGAAAAAATCCCGCTGAAAGATTACCAGGAGTAACTTGTAAAATTGACTTGTAGTGTTGCGGGGGTGCAACGGGAGCAGGATCCATATTCTCGGGTAATGCGGATATGGTGTAGTTGTCAGCAAGAAGGCTACCTGTAGCTTTGGTTCCTAGAGCTATGATGCCCTGTCCCTTCGGAGTAGAGCCACCACAGCTCAAAGCAGTGATGCTCAAAGCACTTGACCCACTCTTGTTGGAACGGGTTACCCATTTAAGCGCTATGACTGTTAGAAAAATGTCAAGATGTGGGAAGAGGGCTACTTGCAAGCTGGGTCAAAGGCTCCTAGGTCCACTACCGCAGTAAACAATGTCTGTGTCTGACTTGCATCGGCTGACACGCAGGCTATCACCATCGTATTAGATTTCTCAGTGATAGCCTGCGTGACATCATAGACTTGGACCGTGTAGCCAGCAGTAGTTACTGGACTGATCTTGTAGGTCTGCCACACTTCGTAGTTCCCGAAAACATGACGAAGGCAATAGAGTTGCTAATATGCTATTAGTGCGATGTGATCGATATTTTAGACGGAAGGGGCGCACATTGTCGTTACCGATAGAAAAAGCCATTGGCTGGCCATCTTTATCTTGAATAAGGGCGAGCTTGGAGACACCCCCGAATGCCGTGACAGGTGCAGTGTAGGAAGTGAACTCAGAGCAAACCTTGAGCCCTACCGTTGCGTCACTACTAGCTTGGACTTTCAGACTGCCGTCGTCCTGAACCACAGATACGGGGGCCGGAACCGCCGTGTTGACTGTGAGAACTGGTGTGAGCTGAGCGGTCGCCATTGGTACAGCTTTAGATTGAGTACTGAGCAGACTTAGGACTTGTGAGAAGAGATTGTGATAACGTGCAGGTTCTCTGAACAATAATGAGGACACTTGATTTAGATTAGATGAAGTGGAGGAGTTGGTAAAGCTGGTACCTATCCATTATATTGCGCCAAGCGAGTACGACGGTGGTTATAAGCACAGTCTCTATAAAATCCGGACGAGAAGATCCGAGATCTGTTGATAGTGCAGGGAATGTTGCTTCGCATTTGCCAAGAAACCTTTTAGACCAATGGGGTCTACAGGTCGAGACTGCCTGGGACCAACCCACCCAATGGATGTTTCAATTGACTTTTACAGCCAAGCTTATGGAAAAAAGGTCTTTTTGTTTTAGAAGCGAAAGCAGTGAGGACATGTGATGATAATGGTGCGGGGTTGAGGACGTTTTCAGAACAGGGGCTTATTTTAGTCTTGCTAATTGGTGGTGTTGATAGCTGAATATGTGATAGTGTAAACCTCTGCAGCGCACGTTTTTAAAGTGGCCTGACCTTCCGAGAACGGAATATGTGATAAATTCAGCTTCTGCAGTAATATCACTTTGTTAAAGGTTGCCGGAGTCGTGGAGAGCTGAATATTTGCTGTTCAATGTCTCGGCTTTTGGCCCTTTACAGTACTGGTTTGTTCGAAGTGGCCTGATTTGTGGGTCTACAGGCTACCTTCCAGCTTCGACTACAGAACCTGGCGAATCATCAAGGCTCATTGATGGCGTCCCGGCGATTCTAGACCGCAACACCTTGTTGGTTGCATATGCAGATTAATTCGAAAAGAGCTAAACAAATGTCACAGTATCAAGATCTTGTTAGTGTGCTCTAGAAGCGTACAATTGGTAGGGAATTTGCGTGAAGTGAAATCGCAAAGCTCTGGGTGAATATAAGAATCGTTCAACGGTACCAATCCATACCGCTGTTATACGTTCTCTGGCTCTGAGGTCTCCGTTAACAAGAACTATACCACCTATATACACCATGTCTAACTTTACTCCTGGAACGTTGTCTGAATTTGATCTTGTCCTGTCAATCACGCAAGACGCATTGAACGCCCAGTTTTTACATCTTTTCTTAACTCCCCTTGCCGACGATGACAGCAAATACCTGATCAATCACTCCCTGGTTCTCAAACCATCGCCAAAATCCCAAGCTGGCATCTATGGCACTATCGAATGTCCTCAAGTGTTGATGAATCTCCCTGCCAATGTGGACAATGCTAGAGTGGTTAAACTTGCATTCAAGTTTCTTGCAAACTCTCCTGGCTCCCCCGGTGACCCGAGCAAAGGCGTACCGCCATATGGTTAGTTATCAAATTGTCTTGAGGATACCATGCTGACTAGATCTTCTCAAGACCCCTCTCTCGATAGTACATTCAAGTACTGGGATGAGAGCGAGGGCGATCCAGTGTTGAAGAGCGAGAACATCAATGGGTGGACTTTTAGCTTTAATTGCAAACTTGACAGCGCCGATATCCAGGATATCGAAGCCAGTCAGTGAACCTTTCACTTACCAATAACGAGAGGCTTCATTAGACTCATCACTGACGAGCACAGAGTATCTCCACCCTTCTACGAGTGCGGAGCTTCAGAAGGCAATTGACAACAAATCCTTCCAACCAGCTTCCCTTTTCTGTTTGTTTGAGACCGCTACGCTCGCAAGTTCGTTCCAGATGGCAGACGCAACAGGGAACACTGTGACAAACCAACAGGCTGTTACAAATTTCATCATTGCTATTACAACTCGTTTTGCACCCCCATCTTCTCCTACGACAGTCGCCTCATCAGGCAACGGGTTGCCGACTCCGGAAAATCCCTTTGTTCTAGGATACGGCATCTCTCAGGTTGATCCGAAGCCTCTGCCCCAAACACCACAGTTCGATCCTCAAAATTTTCAGTTTAGTGTGAGCCATCAGCCAAATGGCTATGGGACGCTGAACTTCTTGATGCTTTTGGGGCCAATTACGCCGTTGACAAACGTCACGCAGAATGGTAACGCTGGCGTATTCGCTGTCCCTTTCCTTAAGTCTATTGGCGCCGATGCCCCGAGCCCTGCTGGTGGCCCTCAATATGACGGTACATTGGCAGTGTCTGCAAAGGCTTTCAGAGATCAGTATATTGTCAAGCAGTTACAAGACTTCTTTGCCATTCCCAAACCTACCCTGAAAGACGTCACCGTACATACAGATTCGAACGCGACAAACTTCACTTCATTTAACAGTTTCGCGACTAATAATACCTGGCATACCGATACAAGCGGTAGCGACGTTGACTACTTCAACTACAATGGGAGTTGGAACAACACGGTCAGTATCACAAGTAACTATGCTGGCCAGCAGATGCCGGTTGACGCCGCTCGGACCTTGAGTATTTCAGCAGTGGCATCTTTCTGGATAAAGTATCTCCAGACCGTGGAAGCAAGTAAGTTCAAACGACATTTGTCACTGAAGGTTCCTTTTCTTAACATGTATCGCAGGTTGGAAATACTTGAACCCATACTCCGGCACCCTTTCAGCCGAAACAACAGTAACTCCTATCAACCTGGCTTATAACGTCGCAACCGGCTCAAAAGGTGGATGGACATTTTCAGTCGACGGAGATAAGACGAAGCTTCCCCCAATGGAAGACGATCCTGATAATCCTGGCCAAAAGAGGCTAGTACTCAAGGAGGAAAACGCTTCTGGAAACGGACTCGAAGTAATAATCAATAAGACTGGATCATTTTTCAGCCGGGGCATCTTCAACCCTACGTACGTTTCGTTCTTCTTTCCACCATTCAATCTTGCATTGTCGTTCTAAGCATGTGCCGGCCTTACTAACAAGTGACAGAGCGTTGATGAATGAGATGACAAACGGCCTTGCTCCTGTCGCCCGATCTGTTTGGGCGATGTATCAGGCACAGCTCTCTAATAGTCTGAGTTCACTGAACAGTCAGATTGTGATGCCAGTAAGTAAAACCTAGCATCTAAGAAGCGTTGTCAATATAGTAACATAACAACAGGTTGGCAATGTTTTCACTTTTAACGGACTGAGTCTTGATTCCCAAGGCAACCTGCTTACCCTGATGAAGTATCAGACCCAATCTGGTGATGGGGAGATAACGAACGTATAAATGGGGGACGTAGACTCGACGTGAGCTTCAATAAGCCTGGAAATGCCTGGATAGCTAATTACCGCGATTTACCCAGGCGGAATATCCTTGTGGCAGCATGGTTCATTAAGTTGAGAGTCACCATGAGAATCGAAGTTGGCTGTTTTTTATCGGTTTTGAATTGAGGTGACTTGAATGCGAGTTGTGGATTCAATAATGTATGAGATTACGAACATGTATCCAAGGAATTATCTCAGTTTCGGACAAATGAACCATAGCTTGTAGCTAAACCGCCTAGTGCATAGGAGCTCTATGAGACTCAGCAATTCCATCTTACCCTGCAAAAGCTTCACAACAATCTATACATAGGTGGATAACCCTATCCCACTGCTGCATAACCCCCGAGAGCCAACCAATAATCCTGAAAGACCTCTTTCTCTCTAGCTTCAATCTTCGTCCAAGCCTCAGTCAAAAGCTCTCCAGGCTGAGTAAAGTTATAATTAGGCAAGAGCTTATTCCACTTATCAGACACGTAAAAGCACTGTCTCCGGATGCAGGCAGGCATCCCTTCTAATAGAAATGCGCGAGCTCCTTACGGACCTCTATAGGGAAAAGTAGATAATCCATCTTTAGGATCTATAAGGTTTTAACTTCGCCAGCGAGAAGTTTATTAGTCTTTAATTTTTCGATAGTAGATAGTTTCCCTAAAAAGTATTAGGTATATTTCCTGTATTTTATAAGATTAACTCTACCACTTATTATAACTATAGGCTATATAGCCTATAGTTTTTTTATATAAGACCTTAGTACGGTATTAATAAATAACTTATTAGCTCATAGCTTTTTTTTAATTAGCTGTCCTGTTGCTTTCGGGCTGATTTTACTTCGCGTACACAAGTAGAGTTGGATGGTGACGATTCCGAGCACCCCGGTCTCACGCAGGAAGGGAACCCTGGCGGCTCAGGCGGGTCGTCTGAGCTGCAGATGAGCAACTCCTGAGCCAAACCTGAGGGGAGCCTGAGCTACCCTCTATAAAGCGGCGATGCTTCTTCGTTGATATTCCCTTGTCAAAACATCACGTACTTTTCCGGTTGTATGACACGATCCAGCTTCCATAGATGACCAGCGGTCTCCAAGCCCTCATGTGTTAGCCGAGCGTCAATGAATCGGCACCCATTATTGAAGACAAGAGGACGCCTCAGTAGAGGTGGACAAAAGCCATCGAAGGACTGGTCCGTGACGAAGTCGGAGACTGTTTGCTTCCGACATCTCACCCAAGTACGGTCCTCTTCCTTTTCTTCACATGTGTCCTCCATGATCTCTCCATTCAAGAGGTAAAGAGCGAGCATAGATAGACTCATGCTGTGTGATCCTTGCCGCAAGATGGCGTCATCTAGCCTGATGGAGTATTGGCAGCAATTTGCGACTATTGCCAATCTGTCGTGGCAGAATTTGCTGCCGCGGGACTCGATATCCTTTATGATCCTCGGCGACTGTGACCAGGGGGCAGAATATCGTCCATCGGGCATGATCTCCCGTGATAGGAACTCGTAATTAGGAGCTGTCTTGAGAATTCGTTCGGCAACATCGGACAGACCGGAGACGCTGCCATCCTCCTCTGCAATTATGCAGGCTTGGCATAGTTTTGTGGATTCCGTCTGGAACTCTCGAGATGAGATCGATATGTCGCCCACTACGTTATCGAGAAATTTTTCCTTCTTTGTCTTCTCCCTGAATATTTCACCATCTTCTGGATGAGGGATGAGCAGCGTCATTTGTCCATCGCAACGATAATTTTCCTGAAAAGTCCAGGCTCTTGTCCACCAAAAATCGGAGGTTATGGCGTCGAGAAGGGACAATGCTCTACGAAGCCTTTCCAGGGCGCTCTCTGCGAAGGAACTTCAGCGGAATTCTCCAGAAGCATGTTTTGACACAAAATTGCCCTTGAGAACGTCTGCGAGAAGGCAAAGCTCTTCGTGCGATTCGATCGGTCGCGCTAGCAGAGCAATGGGGTGATTGCTCAGCTTGTAGACCATATCCATTGCCTGCATACCCCGAGTCTTCTCTGGGCCCGGCTCCTGACAGATGCAGTGCATATCTATCCATACGTATTGCAGGCCAGACTGGGCTTCCAGGTATCGCCGTATGCGGTCGAAGACCCGGTTGCGGACCCCAGAAGGTTCGCGTTTTCCATCAGAGAGTTGTACTAGATGGTGGCCGGCTGTAGAATCCTCGTATGGTTCTGAAGCTCCCCATGTCCAAGACACAGCTACATAGTTCAGGTCTTTGAGGGCATTCAGGCCGCTTTGGCGGAGCCACACAGGGCGATCATCTTCAGATGCTGAATCGCGGGTTTGTGGGGGGCGTTTTCGGTCTCGGGTTTTATCAAGATACAGACAGTCGAGGTTTTGGATGAAATGAAGTGATTTCGATTGCTCGATAGTAGCGGTCTGGATCTCAAGGAGCTGGCGGACTAGGGACTGCCCACCAGCCGACTGTATCGAAGATAATGGTTGATCCTGATCGTCCACATCTATTCGTGGCTCCGCCATGGCGACTGCTGTATTACAAATGCTTTCTCCCAGAGCCAGCCCGAGAGTCGTTGACGAGTTCCAGTCCGTCGTCATTCGGCCGAGTGGGATGGATGGAATAGGGAGAGTCTCCGATAGCGCGACGCGTCAACGTTGGGCCTTTCAGCGTCCGCCGCCAGTGATGATCGACGGAGCGGAGGCTACGGAGCGCATGATGGTGTGGCTTAGGTGCCGGGTACGTAGTCTGTTTGTGTTCCCACTTCCCGTCGAATCCCTGTATTTTGCACCTTGTTACTCTAAATTCTTGACTCTTGACAATGCGCCAATGTTGGGTGTTTTCGGGGGCTATGCTAACCAACTGTTGGTTCCGTTAGTACGGATACGTCACGAAGACTTCTCTAGTTGACTGGATCAGTCATCACTTGTCGGGATGTTCCCGATCTGAATCTTTGTCCCAGTGGACAAAGTCGTAGCAGAGGCAGAGGCTCTGTTGAGTGAGAACAGGGTGATCTTTTTGCCAAGTTGCCAAGCAAAGTATCCAGCCTTCGAAGGCTTAGCGTCCCCCAAATCCGTCCAGACCTGACTCTTTGCTTTGCCTTGGGGTCGTCTGCTTCCCCTGCCGGATTCTCTGAGAGAAATTTTCAGGCGCACAGTTGGATGGTCGACGCAAGAATCTCATAGACGGCTCATTTCTCTTCCAGCAATCTGAATCACTTCTACCAATGGACTAGCCCACTACACCTGCAGGTGATGAACTGGGTACCGGCACGACTATTCGCATCCGTACAGACCGTACAGAGTAGACCGGGCTGTAGAGCTAGACTGCAGGATTGTATAAAAATGGGGTTTTCTGTAACGCAATCACTGGATTAGGGATCGTGATTGCGCGTTCCAGGTCCCTCCGTGGAAAAAGTCTAACTTCTTAGCAGCTCGTCCACCGGTGCACTGCATGTGGGCGAGGCCGGGTTCGTCCATAGTCAAGCCCCGTCGAAAGCCTCCCGCTTCCCTTCCGAATATGCTTGTATCTCAATTTCGAGGAAGCCAATCGGCAGTTGCCCAACTTGCGTGGAGAGCTGACGATTTGGGAGCACCTCATTTGCCATTGAATGGAATGTTGTGTTCCTCACCCACCACCCGTGCATACCGACTGATCGGCTATCGTCAACAACCAGACAAGATGAAAAAGGCCACCTCGGCTGTGCGCAAGAGACTCACAATATGGCATGTAGAAAGTTTGGATGACGAGTCAACGGTTCAGCTGACATTTGCATGAGGTTCATTGGCCGTTCACCCACCAGATGCTTCGCCAGCACGGCCTCGACCCAGGGTATCGCTGGGATGCTGTTAGTTCAATCCATCATTGTTTGCTCATTGGACACTAGAATCAAGGTCTCTGCGAGTGTACGCGCGTGCAGGAAACATGCAAAATTGTCTGCCATCCGGTACTTCGAACCGGATGATCGGTGTTGAGATGGGACGAAACAAGACACTGGGCAACTGTGTTCTGTTTGCCACCTTCTTTGGACCACCTGGAGCTCCCCGGCGTTCTCACGGCTTGAAATATACGCGAACTCAGAGAATCTTGAACTAAGTCAACATACCCACTTCCTGGCACCCCCCTGTTTCTGGCACCCACAAAAACGCGAAAATCCACCACAACCCAATGCCCACCCCCAACCTCCTTTTATCACAACATTTTCAATTCGCGTCCAAATGGGCTCATCTTTTGCACATGTCTTCTTCTATATATAATGCCTCAATATACCGAAGATCAGCTTCGTCAGGCTCTCGAGGA